AGGTAATGTATCAATAAACTGTACAGTGCGTTCACTCTTCTGGTCAGCTTCCTTACACACCCTCCTGTGCACGGTTCCCCCCCCCCTTGCAACACTGAAACAACTGTATATTTCCACCTAACAAGATGCACCTTTTCTTCTCCCAAGTGAAGAAACTTACCCTTCCCCAGGATGAGGAGATGCATGGTGCCAGGAGTCATTGTGTAACTGATCCAGTGAAATGGAACCAGAATTCCAGGCTCTGTGCTGGGTGCTTTATATTTTCTAACACAATTCTTAGAACCTTGTGATAGAAATGCTATTTAATATAAACAGTGCATGGTGGCGCTCTGCATTCTTACCAGGGCGCTCTAGTAAAATGTCTTGGTGCAGATATTATTAGAATAGATGTCTGCAGGGGTGGGGTGGGGTGGGGTGGAGGGAGCGCCTGGGTGGTTCAGTCAGTTAAGCCTCTGTCTTTGGCTCAGGTCATGATCCTAGAGTTCCCCCGCCCCCACCAACGGTCGGAGTCGGGCACCCTGCTCTCTGGGACCCCGCTTTTCCCTCTGCCCCTCCCCCCATTCATACTCCCTCTGAAATAAATTTTAAAAATCTTAAAAAAAGAAAAAAGAACAGATGTCTGAACAAGCTTTTAAGGGTGTGGAAAATTTCCAGAAGCAACCGAGTAAGAGGGAGAGTAGCGTACGGGGATGTGAGCATGTGCTTTGCGGGGGGGGGCAGTGTGTGTTCAGATCATAACTCGGCTACTAGCCTTGTGGTTTTGAGCAAGTTAAACTCTCTAAGCATCTGTTCCTGTATCTTTAAAATGGGACAATAATACTGACTTGTTATAGTGGTTGAGGACCTCATGAGGTCAGACATACTAAGGGGCTGGTTTGTGGTGAGCACTCAGTAAACCGTACCTATTATTATTTTAAGTTGGAATGAAGGACATGGCTCTTTAGAAAACGGCAAGTAGAGAGTAGGACAACTAAAACGCAAGGTGGTGTGTATTTAGTGGAGTCTTATTAGCGACATATTTTAAAAGTTGGATTATTTTCAGATTTGTTCCCAAAGGTGGCGCTGGACATGAATACACAACCCGGAAAGCATTAGGAAGTCTGAATTCTGACGTTGTACATTTTTTCTATGATGTATTGTGTGAAGAGCATTTTGGGAGGAGCAGAATTACACTGGTGGCTACCACTTCACATTTTGGGGGCAGGGGAAAGCACATTTCATAAAATGTATACGAGTAGGTAGAAACCGAGCGAGGCAAGGCGCCACACTTGGCGCCACCTCTACCCTACCCCCAACAGTCGCGCTCCCGTGGCGCGTTCTGGGGCGCTACTGCGCAGTCGCAGAAGCTGCTCTTAGGAGGGGAGGTCTTAGCCCTTCCGTTTGGCGCCTCTATCTGCTGCAGTTGCCTCGTGGGCACAGTCGCGATCCAGCGGGTCCAGCCGCAGCGCAGACGCCGATCCTACAGCACTCAGAGCGGGACTCCCTTCCTTACGATGTCTGAGGAGGAGGGTAAGGTGCCCTTCCCAAAGCTGTTCCACTCGCTTCTGCCTCTTTCTTAACCCTGCCGGGGGTGAGGGGCAGGAGGGGGAGGGGAAACTGACAGGGTTCGCACTGTGCCCAACTAGAGGGCCTTGCAGGGGACCAAGGCATTGTCTTGTCATCTACCAGGGCGTGTCCGGTGATGACCTCTGGACCGCTGTGCCTGTCTGTTTAGTGGGCATTTAGGAACCCAGGTGTTACAGGCTAGGTCTGGCCCTGGGTCCAGGGCATTCTTGGGGTTCATGGTGTTTCAGGAGCTCGAGCTGATTGATCCTGGGGCTTGTGGGGTCCCTGAAATTCACGGTGTGCCACGGGCTTGAGGTGACGCTTGGGGTCATGGTGTCCCTAGAATTCATTGGCCAAGATGATCCCAGAATTTGAGGGGTCCCTGGGGTTCATGGTGTACTTAGGGCTTGAGCTGACCCTAGGTTTTCACTAGATTCCTGGGGTTTGTGGTATCCTAGGAGCTTGAGATGATCCTGGGGTTTGAGGGGGTCTCTGGGGCTTATGGCGTTTCCTGGACTTAATGGCATCTGAGAGGCTCAAGGTGACACTGGGGCTCAAGAGAGCCGCATGGCGAGAGGCGGGGCTTAGTTTCTAGCACGAGGGCGGTGGTTCTTCCTAGGACCCCTAGTGGTCATAAAGCAGCCTCAGCCGTATCCATTCGGGAGACCGGGGCGCTGTGACCTGTTTCTTGTGCGCCTTCTGCAGGGTGGCATGGCGGGTACTGGCGCCAAACTAGGTCTGTACGGCGGCACTTTTTCCTTGAGCTCCCCCCGACTGCAAAAGGCCTTGTGGGATGTGTCCATACCATAAACAGCTCTGCAGCATGACCATTAGGGCATGAAAGTGACTTGGCTTAGTGGCCAGGGGTGCTCACGAGAGGAGACGATTTGATTTGCGGAAGGTTAAATCTTCACTTTACAGTTTCGTATTCAGCAGCGCTGTGGTGGGGTGGTTTGGGGTTTCCCACGACCTCTCCTGAGATGCCTTTGTTTATAAGCTTTTGAGATATGGCCACTCGTTAAGTACTTGGTGTTGACTTCTTGGGATGTATTGATCCTTTATCCTTTCTCTTTCCCTGTCGGAGGAAGTGGGGGTCCTAAAGGACCAAGACTTTGAATTTAAAGGATTGACAAACCAGCAGTTGATTCATTATGACATCTTTTGAAATTGAGATTTGATTTCTTGAGGCTTTGGTGGTAACTGCGTTTGCTCGAAGACAGCGCAGCCTTGTTTTATTGTAAAAACAAACAAGCAGAAAGAAAATAAAAATGTAGGTATATAGAAGTCCCCATGTAAAGAGCCAGTTCTTTGCTTTGAGAGGGCAGACGAGACTTAAAAAGGAGTCGGAGGATACAACAAAATGTGAGGACCCCTAGAAAATAGGGGTGCCCTTCTGACCATGCTTCAGGGCCCGTCCCACCCGCTGTATGACTGAGCACCACTGTTTGACAGAAAAGGCTCTAACGTAATGTCTTGAGAATCGCCCCCTTTTACCTCTACCCACTTCTCCCCAAATTGGGACTGCTTTATGGTTTTAGAACATTAAGTGGTAAACTGATTTAATGTCTGCAGATAATGATTTTACAAGCAACTCTTCTGCACTGTGTTTTCTAAAGCAGGGCTGGGCTGGATTTAGTTTCAAGCCTGCCTGCTGCAAGGACTGGTCTCTGGGATACAGTTTTGGTGGCGTAATCTCTCACCTGGCCAACTTTGTCCTCTCTAAAGTTTGACATGGATGTGCAAGGACTTCTTTTGAGAATTCTGCTAGGAGATTTAGAAAGTATTGTTCAATGTATTGACACAGTTTTGCTAGAAAAGCAGACCAGTCTGGCCATTGTCACCTGCTATGTTTTGGGTTGGATTTCTTGCAGTGGTCCTCATGTGAAAGGAAGGTTGCAGTCTGCATCACTGTGAACTGTGCCTTATCTGGTTAAGTTCAGGGCAACTTGGATCCTTGCACCTTAGAAGCATAATCTTCAAAAAGCTTCTAAATGTTATGTCTTCTAAATATGGCTCATGGAGGTTATGTATATACCTAAAGGAATTAACTGGAATTCTATAAATTTACTGAGAAAACTGGGTGGAGTTGTCAGTAGCTTTACTGGGTCTAGTGTGAAAAATCTGTTGACATATAAAAGCTCGTCTTAAAAATAAAACTTCAGTTACCTTTGTTATTTTCTTCTGATTATGAAGTCTATAAAGTTTATTGTAGAGAATCTTAACAAATACAAGAGACGTCTAATGAAAGTCATTTTGCCACCCAGAGATAGTGACTAAGAGATAACAACTGGTATGTTTCCTTCTGTTCTCAACGTTAGGATTACATCGTATTTTTTCTGCTTTGACCCTGCTTTTAATGCTTTAACCCTTCCCGCCTCGACATTTCTTTCACCAGCATTTCTAGTATGCCATAATTTATTTAAGTAATTCCCTTTTGTCTGAATAATTAGGTAGTTTCTAATGTTCCATTTTTTCCATGAAGACTATGAAGTAGATTTCACAGTGAATCTCCATACTTAGTCCTGTGTTTTTATGGATGAGAAAACAGAGGCAAAAGAATAAATGTATCCGGCCAAAAGGTCATACCTCTGGATAGCTAAAGAGCCTGAATTGGAACCCACACCATGCGATTCCTAATTCAGTATCATTTTCACACCAGCACGTTCCCTCACACTGGCTATTTACTTGATTCTAAAGTTTTGGTCCATTTCAAATAAATGTATTGAATCCAAGTTGTGATGCACAGTGCGTGTGATCTGCAAGTTAATACTTCGAGCTTAAACATGTTCTTCTTTTTCAGGCCAACCGTAAAAAGGAAAACAGCCTGTTTATGTAGCATACATTGTGCGTGGTGTGCTACTTTTCATGGTCATTAGAACGGTTTATGGAGTTGATATTTCACATCTCGTTTATTCGTGGTGACTTATTTTATGTTTTGTGAGATTGAATTTGAATTTGTTTCATAACAATAGTTATGACTGTATTTTATTTCTATATCATTTATTATCATAAAGATTAATATTAAGGTTTAGAGAACATGTCCGGGAACTCATGGTCAGTAGAGTGTGGCTATGTAACGTCAGCTCTATCATTTAAAAGTTAAAAGCATATCACTGAACACAGAGCAGCATGGGCTAGGTATTTACATTTCTTAAATGGGGAGAAATTTACTGCTCTAAAATTGGAAGTACTAGAAATACTAATGTATGTGTGTATATACATGCATATAAATATATACATGTACACACACACATATATATTTATATATATATATCTCAAAGCTTCATACGAAGCAATTTATTTCTTAGCTGACTTGCAGGGATTAGAGATACGAAAATATTTAATGTTTTTTCAGCTAACATGTTTTTTAAATACTCCAAAACTTTATAAGGTGGTTTCTTCTAGACATTGATTATTTTATGTGGTATCTAAACTTTCTCTTTGCTTATTCCTAGACTATATTATTATAACTGTTGAGGATGACAGTGAAGGCGATGATGACATTGGTGTTGTGATAATAGAAGACTCTGAAACAGAACTTACAGAGAACACACATCCCACGGATGGCATGTTGACTATAGAACCAAATTTTCAAGCCAGCAATGATAACTATCAGCAACTATCCCAAATGAGATATGGTAATTTTGTTCTATTTCCTTCTCCACAAAATTCTGCTCCCTGGTCCTGATATCCAGTAAATTGCTTAAATATTCTTATAACTTTTACACTTGTCAGTTCTTATCAGGACAAGCTTCATGGTCATGTCACAGTGCTTATGTGTGCTTGCTTTTTCTGTTCATTTAAGCTTTGCCATGTCTCCTGTTCCATTTTCACTCTATGGGGGTGGGAGGGTAGCCTCAGAAAGCATTGGGAGAATATATTATCTGTCTTTGAAAAACTGTTTATAGCTGGCAACTCTGACTGTAAATATCTGGTGGCAAAGGAAAACTGAATTTATGGGAGAAACAACTTGGATCAAGAGTTCGTTGAACAGATGACACGATTATCTATGTAGATCTAAAGAATCTGTAAAAACTGGAACTAATAAGCAATTATAGCACGACTGTGTGATACAAGGTTAATATGCAAAAGCCAATCCCTTTCCTATATATCAGCAGTAAACAGCTGGAACCTGAAATTAAAAATGCAGCACCCTTTCCATTACTACCCCAAAGAAGAGTCCATGGAAAGTGAAGTCTTATAACCAGAAATGCGGTAGCTACTTGGCCTTTCAGTGGCTGCTTCTCAGTCACAGCAGTGAAAGAAATGTGAGGCCATTCACCTCCTCCCTCACACACAGCCCAGAGACTTAACCCCTTGGAACATTTCTTTGTTAGCTATAGGACAATTTGTTCTTTGCCCTTTGTGTAGAAAATTGGGTTTCCTACTCCTTAAAAATGTTACTGCTTAGGGATGCCTGGGTGGCTCAGTTGGTGAAGCATCTCCCTTTGGCTCAGGTCATGATCCTGGAGTCCTGGGATCGAGCCCTGCTCAGTGGGGAGCCTGCTCCCCCTCTCCCTCTAACCCTCCTCCCTGCTTGTGTGCTCTTTCTCTCTCAAATAAATAATTAAAATCTTCAAAAAAAAGTTATTGCTTAGATCGGAGATCAGCAAACTGTTTCTGTAAAGGGCCAGACAGTAAATATCTTTGGCTTTACAGCCAGAAAGGCTCTGTTGCAACTGCTCAACTCTGCTGTTGAAGAAAGCAGCTGATATATAAACAGATGAGTGTGACTGTGTTTCAGTAAAACTTTACTTATGAGCACTGAAGTTTGAATTTCCTATCATTTTTCCATTTCATAAAATATTCTTTTGGTTTTATTCCCTAATCATTTTTGAAAATAATTTTTGATATTAAAATAATTAAAATAGTTTTTTGATATTTTATATTTACTCTCCATTTTTAGGAGTTACTCAAATTTTATACACTTCAGATACAATTACATTTTAATTTTTTTTAAGTAAGCTCTACGCCCAGTGTGGGGCTCAAACTCACAGCTCCAAGATCAAGAGTTAAACAAAAAACAAAAAATAGAAGCATTCTTAGCTTGTGGGCTACATAAAAAATAGGCAGCAAGGTGGATCTGGCCTGTAGGCTGTAGTTTGCCAACCCCTGATCGAACTGATGTCCAAAAGTTCTGATAGCACTTGTCCTCTGTTCTGGTTTTAAAACTATGTGCAGAACCAGCAGAATACTTTCTAGTGTGTTACAGAATGTCTGGCTGATCCCAGCAGCCCTCTTTAGTGGGAGAGAACTAGGAGACTTTCCAAATGTGGATACCCTTTGACTTATCATTTCTACATCTAGGACTTTATCCCACAGAACTATCTGCAGACAGGTAATACTGTTCAGCAGTGTTCTTCACATGAGCAAAGCTTGAGAAGTAACTTGAATATCCGTGAATTAGGGACTAGTTCAATGAATCATGGCCTATCTGCATGATAGAAAAGAAGTGGGGCTCCTGGGTGGCTCAGTGGGTTAAAGCCTCCGCCTTTGGCTCGGGTCATGATTCCAGGGTCCTGGGATCGAGCCCCGCATCGGACTCTCTGCTCGGTGGGGAGCCTGCTGCTCCCTCACTCTCTGCCTGCCTCTCTGCCTACTTGTGATCTCTGTCTGTCAAATAGATAAGTAAAATCTTAAAAAAAAAAAAAAAGAAAAGTAAGCAGCTGTTAAAGGGGTTGCAGTATACCTAAAAGTATTAGTTTGGAAAGACCAATACAGGTTTAGTAAAGAAAAGGAGGTTGCAGTGTAGTCCTTATCGTCTGATCCCTTTTATCTTTCCAACCAATGCAAAAATTTAGGATAAGGGGTTTCAGAAAAGTTGGCCAGGTAATTTTTTACTGTGGTAAAATATACATAACGTCATGCTTCTTCCATTTGTTCTTTTAATGTGATGTGTTACGTTGATTGGTTTTTCTTTTGTTGAACCACCCTTGCATTCCTGGGATAAATCCCTCTAGGCATAGTGAATAATCCTTTTAATTTGCTACTGGATTACATTTGCTATTATTTTGTTGAGGATTTTTGCATCTGTATTCATAAAGGATATTGGTCTATAATTCTCCTTTCTTGTAGTGCCTTTTTCTAGCTTTGGCTATTGGGTATTTGGGTATTGGGGTAATTCTGGCCTCATAGAATGAATTAGGAAGTGTTCTCTCTTTAGTTTTTTGGAGGAGGTTGAGAAGGATTGGTGTTAATTCTTTTAATGTTTGGTAGATCCACCACTGAAGCCCTCTAGAGGGTCCAGGCCTTTTCTTTGTTGGGAAGTTTATAATGACTGATTCAATCTCTTTACCTGTTATGGGTCTGTTGAGATTTTCTATTTTTTTCTTGAGTTATTATAGATAATTTTTTAAATTTATAAAAACAAATTGTTGGGGTGCGTGGGTGGCTCAGTTGGTTAAGTGTTTGCCTTCGGCTAAGGTCATGATCCTGGGGTTCTGGGATCAAGCCCCATATTGGGCTCCCTGCTGAGCAGGGAGCCTGCTTCTCCCTCTCCCTGTTGCACCCCCTGCTTGTCCTCTCTCACTGTCAAATAAATAAACAAATAAATAGAATCTAAAAACAGAAACAAAAACAAAAATCCCTAAATTGTTTTCTTATATAACAACATTAAGCAATTAGAATATATATAGGATTGAGGCACCTGGCTGGCTCAGTAGTTAGGGCATGGGACTCTTGGTCTTGGGGCTGGTCATGAGTTCAAGCCCCATGTTGGGCATAGAGCCTACTTAAAAAAGAAAAGAATATATATATATTTATTTATATATTATGTATTTTTATTATTAAATATATATTATATACACAATTATATTTTCACATATAAATATAAATAATAATTAATAAATAGTAATAAATATTAGTAATAAATAAATAATTTTATGTATATAAAAAGAATATATATGTATTTTCCATAAAATGGAAGAAAACCCAGTTGATAATGGCTACAACTAAATATTAAAAATCCTAAGGAATAAATGAATAAAAATAGCAGAATCTGTATGAAAGGGGAGCAAATACTTTAATGAAGGTCATAAAATAAGACTTGATTAAGTGGAGAGAAACAAATTGTTCCTAGAGGAGAAAAAACACTCTTATATAACTTAAAAAAAAATCTTGGAAAAATATGTTTAAGGGGTAGGTGGTATTTTATCATATGAAACACTAAAACATTTTAAAAGTTACAATTATTAAAATATGATGGTATTAGTTTTGAAATAAGGAGCCAGATTTAATGCAGCAGGAAGCTCATAAAAACAAAGAATTTGGAGTTAATGCACCGTAGTATTTTAGTAAGAGAAACAGAGATAGTAAATCATACTGGTACAGATACTAACTATTGGAGGAAAAAGCCCATTGGATTTCACCTCATATCACACACTTAAAATGATTTCAAGATGGATTAAAGAGTTGAATATCTAATGAATGGAAGTATAGAAAACTAGGAGAAAATCTAGTTGAATGTTCTTCTATTCCTAGTGAAGACTGAGTGTAACAGCAGTTCAAGAAATCATAAAAACGTTAATGAATTCGGTAAAATAGAAACCTTCCCAATATCAGGGAGAGCGAGCACAAGCAGGGGGAGTGGCAGGCAGAGGGAGCTGCAGAAGCAGGCTCCCTGCTGAGCAGCGGGGCTCGATCCCGGGACCCTGGGATCACGACCTGAGCCAAAGGCAGATGCTTAACCCACTGAGCCACCCGGGCGCCCCTTTAGGTAGATTTTTTATAGAAATCTATCACACACAAAAATGTGCACGAATGACAAATACTCCGCTTAAAGACTTTGCAGGTCAACACACAAGTATAAGCAGCACCAGCGCCAAGAAATAGAAGGTGCCGAGCCCCGGCGAATCAGCCCTCACCTCCCTTCCAGTCTCGGGCCCTCTTGTGAAGCGGCACTATCCTGACGTTTCCCACCACTCATGACGTTTGCCTATTTCTGAGCTTCAGAACAACTGAATCATGTACAATTCACTCAGGTTCCTGGACCTAGTTCCAGACCAGCCCTGGTGGTGAGGGCTTCTCACCTCACAGCAGGCAATGCCAGGACCCAAGCCGGGAGTCTGAGTATTCAGCTCAAATCTGACACTCTCCGCCCAGGGGCAGCGTCGGGTTCCACACGTGCGGGGCTCAGTCCCACAAGACCGCACCCCGCTTCCCCTACAGGCACCAGTTGCAAGCCTGGGGCACTACCCAGTCTTCTGACTCAGTGGCTTGAACAGGTTCCTGGGACCCCCTCCTCAGGTTTGGTTAATTTCCTAGAGCAGCCCACAGAACTCAGAGAAACATTTTACTTACCAGATGGCTGGTTTGTACAACCATGGAACAGCCGGCCAGAAGCGATACAAAGAACGAGGCATGGGGGAAATGTTGGGGGGTTTCCACGCCCTCTCCGGGCCCATTCTTTCCGGATCTCCAGGTGCTCGCCAACCCGGAAGCTCTCCGGACCCGGCGCTTTGAGTCTTTACGGAGGCTTCATTGCATAGGCATGATCGATTAAGCCATTAGCCACTGGCAACTAACAACCTCTAGCCCTCTCCCCTTCCTGAAGGTCAGTGGGTAGGACTGAAAGGTCCAACCCTCTCATCCCAGCTTCCTCCTCCCTGCGGCCCAGCGCTCAGCCTTAGGTAATCTAGAGGCTTTACACTCCATTAACATAACAAAAGACACCTTTATCTCTCTCCTCACTTAAATTCCAAGGGTTTTAGGGGATCTGCCAGAAACACATGGAGACCAAATGTGTATATATATATATTTAAAAAAAATATTTATTTATTTGACAGAGATCACAAGTAGGCAGAGAGGCAGGCAGAGAGAGAGGAGGGGAAGCAGGCTCCCTGCTGAGCAGAGAGCCCGATGTGGGGCTCGATCCCAGGACCCAGAGATCATGACCCGAGCCGAAGGCAGAGGCTTTAACCCACTGAGCCACCCAGGCGCCCCATGTATATATTTTTTTAAGATTTTATTTATTTGAGAGAGAGGGAGCGCTCGCCTGCATGAGCAGGGGTTGGGGCAGAGGCAGAGCGAGAAGCAGGCTCCGGGTTCAGCAGGGAGCCCACTTCAGGACTCCATCCCAGGACCCTGGGATCCTGACCTGAACGGAAGGCAGACACCCCACCGAGCCACCCAGGCCCCCAAAATATATATCCCTTAATAGAACTCTCAAGTATATACTTTGGTGTCTGTCTTCTGCTCCGTGTTGGGGCTGTGAACTTCTTCCCTGTGTGCACCAATCGTTGGTGCGTCCTCATCGCTATGTAGGCTTTCTTTGTATGAAAACACCCCGGTTCAATTATTCATTCTCAGTCTTATAATCCGAATAAAACAACCAGTTTAAAAAATAAAAATTGAAGTTACGCCTCAAATTGGAGTTAGTTTATCATTGAATTTTCCCCACCCTGTTGGCTTGCGTTTATCTAACTTGAGAGTTAATTCTCCTTCGCTCTGCTTCTGATTGCCTCCCTGGCTCAGGACGGCTAATGGCAACTAGGTCTGTCATGCAGGCCCCCCTCCCAGGACAGTGATGCCAGCCGCCAAGGCTCTCCTACTACAAGACAGAATATGGGAACACCGCATTCTGTATCTTTTCCTCCTTATGGAGCTCAGAACCATCACTGAGCCTACAGCGTTCTAGAATATTCGGGGGCTTATATTTCACATACGTTATTTAGGTTTAATATGAAGTGTAACTAGGGAAAACAATCATAATCTTAGAGTTCTAGTGACTTGGAGCTAATGTCGACCAGTTCTCACCCAGCAGATGAGGAGGCCATGTCTTTGTGGTCTGCTCCGTCTACACTGTGGAGGGAGTGGCCCACACCAGAATAGACTCCTGACTCACATTTGGAGGCCTGCTGCTTCCCTAAGTAAAAAGGCTTTGGGGGGCTCCTTTCAAAAAGCAGTTAGGTTCTCTTGCTATTTGTTTCCAGCATTTACTCTGTAGCCTTTCGGTTGTGAAGCATTTATTTCATAATTCAGAATTTGTGTGTGATCTTGATTCTTATTCCTAGGAGTGGCAACCTAGCCCTTCGATTTTTAAGGGTTTATTTTACATCACTACTGGGAGAGTTATTGTTTTGTCACTCTCTAAAATTCAGCCAGGACTCCGGTTCAGTTTGAGGTGGCATTTGGAGAACATATCCCTATTAAGTTGATGACGGTAGTAAGTCTGTGAAATAACTTTTTTAATGTGTTTCTTTTCAGGAGTAGGTGGTTTACCAGCCCTACGTGACCAAGCAGTTCCACAAATGAACCATCTAGCAAATTTAAAAAGATACAGCTCGAACTCAGTGGAAATGGATCTTCTCCCCCCACAGCTCAAAAGAGGATGTTCATCTTTTTTAAGGGTGGGTAATATGGTTTGTATATTAAATTGAATATCTTTCTTTTTTTTTTTCATTCTGCTTTACTTCTTTTTTTTTTTAAATTGAGTTTAATTTCATACAGAGAACGGTTCGGTGGTTTTGACAAATGTGTATACCTCTCCCCGCCATCAAGACAGAGAACACTTCCACCATCCCAGAAAGTTCCCTCATGCCTCTCTCTTCCCAGAATATCTCCCAAACCTTGGAGAAACAACATTCTAATATTTTTCCCATTATAGATTAGTTTTGCCTGTTCTAGAACTTTATACAAACAGAATCATATAGTATGTACTCCTGTGGCATAGTCTCTTTTTCTTAGAATAAGGTTTCAGAGATTCATCTGGTTTTAGTGACATTTCATTCCCATTCATTGCTGAGTAATATTCTGTTGCATGAATGTCGTAATTTGTTTATCCATTCTCCTTTTTTTTTTAAAGATTTTATTTATTTATTTGGCAGACAGATCAGAAGTAGGCAGAGAGGCAGGCAGAGAAAGAGGAGGAAGCAGGCTCCCCGCTGAGCAGAGAGCCCGATGTGGGGCTTGATCCCAGTACCCTGGGATCATGACCTGAGCCAAAGGCAGAGACTTTAAGCTACTGAGCCACCCAGGCGCCCCTCCCTTCTCCTTTTGATGGATGCTTGGGTTGTTTCCAGTTTGGGGTATTATGAGTAAAGTGGCTCTGAAGATGATTATGGAAGTGTTTTTGTGAATGTATGTTTACATATAATTTGAGTAAAGACTCAGGAGTACAAACACTGGGTCACAGGATAGATAAAGTTTAGAAGAAACTGCCAGTTTCTTGATGTAGTTGTACCGTTTGACATTTCCATCCTACTCTGCCCTGCTTCTTAATCTCTGAAGTAGAATGAAATAGATTATTAGACTATATATAATCTAGCTTACCAGAAAATGCATTTACTTACTTATATAAGGATGAGGACACTCATAAATACCTAAGTAGTACAGGCAATTCTCTTAACTTCTAACAGCCCCACTATGTTCATCTTTGGGGATAATGTTAAATGCCTACTGAGAGTCATGGTTTCTGACATAGTTACGCGAAAGCACTTTGAAAAGTATAAAGCATTACACAAGGGTACGATGGCAATATTGTTTCTATAATGACTAGTCTATATTGTAATTCCATATAATTTTTGTTGTCTAATAAGTTGGCAATGCAGGGCTGATTGATAAAATTTTAAAACAAAAACACTAATAATTACTTGGTATGTTTATATTAAAATTATTATTATAGTCCATAATTCATCCTTAGAGTTGTTATAATTAAATATAATGGTTATTTGCTGTCTGTCTACTTACTTATACCCTCTTTTATTCCAAAAAACAATTTAAGGCATCTTAGAGATTAATTTATTGAGAAAAGTAGGGGCCTTAGTGCTTCTTAGTTTGTCCACAGAGTGTCACTGTTGGATTATTTGAAATCAAAAGCCATAAAACCTTTGGTTCTTTGTTTCCGGTTGGAAATATTTGCTTTTAAAGTAGTTCTGGTGCCAGATTACTAGAAGCTAGTCTTTTTACCCTGAAGTGCGTAAGAGGTTAAGCTTGGTAAAAATGGTGTCTTAAGTGTAGTTGGGTGAATGAGAAAACAGTTCAGCAAGTACACTTGACCCTTGAGCAATGTGGGCGTTAGGGGTGCTGACCCCTGCACAGTCGAAAATCCACGTGTAACTTGGACTCCCGAAAACCTAACTACTAATAGCCCTACTGTAGACCAGAAGTCTTACCGATAGTCAACACGTATTTTGCGTGTTATATGTATCATATACTGTATTCAAACAAAAAAGCCGGCTAGAGAACAGAATGCTAGTAAGAAAATCACAAGGAAGAGAAAATACATGTATAGTATTGCACTATATTCTTTGAAAAAAAAATCCATATATAAGTGGACTCGCACAGTTTACCCCCATGTTGTTAAAGGGTCAGCTGTATATCTTTGTGTGTTGCTGTAGTATTTGCAGTGGGCAGAGGACCTTCATGCCTTTGGTGCTTGTTGACAGCAGAACTGAAGTCCTGAATGTTTCTTCAGTTCTTTCTTTTTCTTTTGGTTTATTAATAAATAGTCCCTGGACAAGAACACAAATACCCGATTGGGAAGAAGTTGGAAGTGTCATTAATGAATGCATATCAGACTGAATATTTACATAATATTAATTGCTAATTGCCAAATATATTCACACTTACTATCATAAAGAAAATGATTTAAGTTCTTTTTCAACCTTCACATACTGTGGAGTTACTCTGAACTTGAGAGCTGAAGGAAATATTTCTCTCTCATGACTAGATGCTTCCATAGCAATAACAAGACAAATGAACACTTAACCATTTGATTTCCTTCTTTTCCTTAACTAATTGGGAATTCACAGCAGTTATGTACTCTGAGTAGCTTTCTCATTTTTGAAATAATTTTAGATTTACAGAACAGGGGCAAATATATTACAGAGGGTTCTCGTGTATATACTTCATACAACTTGCCTTAATGTTAACTTACCTGTATAACTTAAAATTATGGTAATTATGTAAGCACAGTACTGTTTTCACAACCATGATATTAATGTTGCTACAGTACTATTAGCTAAACTGCAGTCCTTGTTTGAGTTTCACCATTCTTCTCCCCCTTGTCCTTTTTCTGTTCCAGGATCGAATCTAGTATCCCAGATTGAGTTTAGTTTTCTCTCTTCAGTTTTTTCTAGTCTCTGACGATCCCTCATTCTTTCCTTGTCTTTCATGATCTTGACATTTGTGATGAGTGTACACTTACAAATGTACATTGTACATTTGTAAAATGTCCCTCAATTTTGGTATGTCCGATATTTTTCTCTTGAATAGATCGAGATTATCCATTTTTGGCAAGAACACCACACAAATGCCTCCTTATTGAATTGTTATCAGGGACACATGGTGTCTGTGTATCTTTTTACTGGTGATGTTATCATCGATCTCTTGGTTAACGTGGTATCTTCTGGATTTTTCCACTGTAAAGTTACAGCTTTTCCTCTTGTGGGGAAATATCTTAGGTGGGAAGTACTTTGGGGGACTCTGCTGATATCCTTTTTCTCCTCACCTTTTTACCCACTGAGTTGAGTTAGCTCGTGGATTTTACCTGCAATAATCACTAGTATGGTGTTTGCCAAATGGTGACTCTCTATTTGCCTCATTCCCATGTATGTATTAAAAGGAATTCATATGTCAGGAAGAGCTGTCCTTTCTATTCCATTTATTTATTCAATTATGTATTTTATATTTATATGGATGCATGAGCGTTCACTGTATATTATATGAGTTTTTTATAATCCCATGTTATCATTATTTTATTGATCAAATTTTCCAACTTTGGTTATTGGAAGCGCCTTCCAGTTGGATCCTGTGGCCTTTTCACATGGCCCAACTTTTTTTTGAGCACTTCCTGATTTTCTGACATCACAAGATGTTCTAGGCTCATTCATACTTTTCCGGACCCAGCCCTGGAATTCACCTCTCTCCAAGGAGCCCTGGTTCCTTTCTTGGAGAATGGTATTTAGAAACCATAATCTGGACACCAGATATTTTCACTGTTTGTCTTGTGTCATTGACCTTAAGCCTTCCCAGTGGACAGAGCTAGGAAATATATGTATACTATTCCAAGCATACACATACATCTTTATTTCTATATCTGTCTTTATATATATTATAAACTATGTGTTCATGCTGATATTCAGTAGCTTTTCTTAAACTTAAGTTCTTATATGATAACTTCTTTCCTCATCCCCCCCTTTTTTAAAAAAAGATTTTTATTTATTTATTTGACAGACAGAGATCACAAGGACGCAGAGAGGCAGACAGAGAGAGAGAGGAAGGGAAGTAGGCTCCCTGCGGAGCAGAGAGCCTGATGTGGGCTCGAATCCCAGGACCCCGGGATCAAGACCCGAGCCGAAGGCAGAGGCTTTAACCCACTGAGCCACCCAGGCGCCCCTCATCCCCTTTTTAATCAGCTCTTACCTGTTTCATTCTCATGTGAATATGGATTTTGGTTTTACTTTATCTCTGTTTTATAAGACTTTTGAAATGCTTTTAGAATGCAGATGAAAAAGAAAATAATTAAGACATAAATATATAAAGTACTGATTTTTCTAGTGCTTAGTTTGGGTCCTACTGATATTAAGCATTAACTTTTTATTTTTATAATATTAATAGGCAAGCAATGCATTTGAAGGTTTCCGTGATGAAAATCATCAAAACCGACTTACAGAACTCCAACACCATTGCAAGGTATCAAATTTCTATCAGTTAAATGTAATTTTTCAAAATTTTGAGTGAAGTTCTTTTTTTTACCTTGTTTAACGTCATTGTGCTATTAGTAGAAAGTTTGTCATGTCAAATTTTGTATGATTATCACTCTATTGTGACGCATTTCAAGAAGATTTTCTAGTTAGCAGAGTATCTCTAGGTGAAAAATTTGAAATAAAAATATGGCTTTTGTAGCTTAAACAAAACCCAACAGCCCATAGCTGATTAAATGTAGTTAATCTCTTTCATCTAAATTGTTCAGTATTTAATTTCTCCAATATTCTCTCTTAAGGAAATTAGCTTAGTTCAGTGAAATTTAGTCTGTGTCTAAATGCTTATCAAGATTTCTCAATTGAAAGAAAATGGCAGCGTACCATTGTTTTTTAAAGAGTATATCTTACGTAGTTTTGAGGGGATTTTGTAAAAGTTAGCATGCTGGTAGAGATTGATGGGGGTAATTATCAAGGATTTTGTGAGCTGCATCCTCTAGAGGTAATGGAAGCTTATTTTTTAAAAAGTAGTTGTTAACATACAAAGTTTGTTGGATTAAGATGAGCTACCCTGCCTAAGTAAAGCGTGTTTAGTGAGTCTTTATCACTGTTACTGAGAACAGAAGTGGACTGCTTCAAAGGAACATAGCAGGTCTTTGGGGAAGGAGGTACGGAGGGTGGGCGGTGAAAGGGGGGGGTTCTGATTTCCAGCGGGGCCATTCCCGGCCTGCCTCATGTAAGCACCCACGACCCCCCGGGCTGCCACTGCTCTGCCAGGGCCTTCTTTCTGAGCGACGGTGCAAGATGTGGTGAGCTAGAACGTGGAGGAGGAGAAGTGCCCAGTGTCCCGTCACAGCCCCGAAATGGACCATCGGGGATCCTCCCGGTTTCTCCCAGTGTGCGAGCTCTCTCCTTTCTTCAACCCCTTCCCTTACCGGGCTAGACCAGTCGCTGCACACTTCCACCTTTTCTTCTTCTGTCCTTGCCCAGTGTCCTCTTTAGGAAGATTCCAGCCCTGTGCAGGCTGGGAAGCAGAGGGGGCGCCTGCCGGGATCCCTCCACTGTCCCGCGGCCCTTCGCCACACTCTGGTCAGCTCCCTCTCCGTCCCCCACAAGCTCCGGAGGGCCCGGCCCTCGCTTCTTATTTCAGGGAGGCCAAGGTGGGTTGGAGCGTGAGGCCCAAATCCCTCTGAGTCGCAATTCCTCTCCCCACAGCCAGCCACTAGGCTGGGATCTGTCCTTCGGGCATCTCCCTCTATAAGGCTAAGGCGGTGCTGTTTTCTGCCTCTGAGCCTCTTTCCCTGTGCCGGGACGCTTCCCTTCGCCAGTGGCCACGTCCTGGCCCTTCGGCTTCCGTCTCCGTCACTCTCCGCATCCCCTCCCACAGCTTCACCTCCACTTGGGGCCTCCCATCCCTCTTTCTGTCATGCCTTCTCTCTCCTTGCCTTAAAACACCCAGCTCTTTGAACGTCATTCATCTTCACTGTCTACACATCTGACTTCTGTGTTCTCTCTGGGTATTTTGAATCTACTGTTCCTTCTGCCCTCTCTGCCCTTCCATGCATCTTTACCTGGTGAACACCGTCTTGTCTTTTAGTCCTCAACGGGGACATCTCCTCTGACAACACTGCCACGACTGCCAGCCTGGGTCAGGTCTTCCTGTTCTGTGCACACGTGGCCTCCCATTCTTACCTGTGTCGTAGCCATCAGAGTCACAACAATAATGACTATTGATGGGTGGTTGAGCACTACTGGGCGGGTTGTCATGTAGTATTGTTAGGATGGGAGTACTAACATCACACCACAGCGCCTCACTTTGTCCTTGAGAGAACTCTGAGATTCTCATCTGGATTCTATACATGAGGAAATTAAGGCACAGAGAAGTTAAGTGACTCGCCCAAGGTCACACAGCTGATAAGCGGCAGAACGCTAGTCTTTGCACCCAGGTGTGTTCCCCTAAAGCCTGCACGGTTCACCTCAGTGCTGTTGGTCAGTGGGTCACTTGATCATGCACCAGAACCACCTGGAGGGCTCGTGAAAGCAGATCGCTAGCCCTGCTCTCAGAGTTCCCGATTTAGCAAGCGTGGTGTGGGTGATGGGGCATTTCCGACAAGCCAGTAGGAGACATTGATGCTACTGGTCCAGGACCACACTTTGAAAACCACTGCTTTAGGCTGCCCGTCACTTTATTGAAATCCTCTCTCCCCAACTCACCTGGCCGTTCCTTAGGGCAGGCTCTCGTGTTCCTGTTTTCCTTTCTGTCCACAGTCCCAGCGCCTAGCAAAGCAGTTCCAAGAGGTAGTAAGTAGGCCCTCAGTAAGTGTTTGAGTGAATGAATAAGGAAATGGTCCTGGCCTCCTGTTTAAGTGTATATTTGGCCTGAATAAAATTTCTGTGTATTTGAAAAATTCTCAGGTTTTTTTAGTCACATACCTGGTTGGCCAATAGGGAACATATACTGGAAGGTTTTATAAGGTTAATTGTTAATTACCTTATCTTTGAAATACTTTGAAGCCAAAAGTCACGTCTGTTATATTTGGCTCACTGTTCTTTCCAGCACAGAATGCTCACTGCCTCTGAATTCTCACCATGGTTATATGGAAAGAGGCTCTTTGGCCTTTTTAGCAGATTTGAAGCTTTCTTTCCTAAAATAGCCCCTTCCTTGATATAAAACGACTCCATCATAAGTATGGTGGCTTATAAGAATGGTGGTACATTTACTTTCCAGTATTAAAGCTTTTTAAAATGCCCGCATGGCCTGGAGTTGTTGAGTAGGAGGTTGGGCTCCTTATCTCCATCAGCTCCGCTCTGTGTCACCAAAACCAGGCATCCTGTGGCATTAACAAGACATTTTTGAGGACTTGAGAGCTTTTTTTGTTTGTAGCAATTAAAATGTGGCTTAATGGTATTTTCTCATATGTTACTTTTCTTTTGAAATAGGAACTGCTAAAATACTTGTTTTATTGTAATAGGACTTGCATGAACTTATTGAAAGCACCAATAGGCAGGTAAACAACCTTTGTGGAATCGTTTCAAAAATGCAACAGCCTTGGGAGAAGCCACTGTTGCCAGACTGTGTAAGTATTATAAATACATTGATGCTACTTTGATAAACCTGTAGTTCCTAAAGAGACCAGTCTCTTAGAAGCAAGAGAGAACTAGGACTCTGAGATTAGCAGGGCTGATGTATACTTACTTTAGCAACAGATGGGACACTGCACATCTTTTGGATGAATGCTGAAGTTCAGATTTGAGAAATCATGACACTGAAGATTTTTATGTTTGTAACCGTAATGAAGAATATGCAGTCAAAATGTAGGTTTGGAGAGGACTAAAAATCATATAATAAAAATTCAGGCTTTGTCATTAACTGTGGAAAATGATGTTGCAAAGAAAGGAGCCGTTCATGCCTGTATCAACTTTTTTAGATGATTTATGATGGGTTTGTGTTATTTTAGAGGTCATGTGGATTTACACAAAAAAGGTTTAATTGTCTGCCTCATGGAGAAGTTCAAGTCCAGGAACCAAAGACGAGAGCATAACCCTTTGTGTTCTCTTACCCTGGACAGGGAGACGACAGCCCACCTGGACCCGTGGGAAGGAAGGAGAACCATGTCCTGCCCAACCCTGCGGAGATCTGTCTTCAGCCGGCCGTGCTGCCTGAGCCGGTCGTCAGGGAGAGTCCGCCCTTTCCCAAAATTGTCTCCACGTATTCATTGCAGCCCAGTGTCACACCAGGCAGCCCAGCTCCTGGACTTGCTGTCCTGTCCTATGTTTTCAGTGAAGGAGACGAAGAGGTCACCAGGGATCTCTCCGCTGCCCAGCATCCGGCTCTGCCTGCAGCACTCCTGTCCCCGGGAGAACCCCTCGTGGCACTATCCCCTGAGGTGGCCACCTGCTCAACTGGACAGGGACCTATCCCCGTGGGCCCTGACCCGGCTTCGTTGGCTTTCTGCATCCCCTCCAATTTCGGTGAGTTTGACCTGGCCTATATTATAAGGAGCATCCTTTCATCTGCATTAAAAAGCATTCTTTTTAAAATTTATTTTTTAAAAATTTTATTTATTTATTTGGAAGAGAGAGACACAGTGAGAGACGGAACACAAGTTGGGGGAGAGGGAGAGGAAAAGCAGGCTCCCTGCTGACCTGGGAGCCCCACGCATGGCTGGATCCCAGGACCCTGGGATCATGACCTGGGCTGAAGGCAGACGCTTAACGACTGAGCCACCCAGGCGTCCCTAAAGACATTCTTAATGGAAACTAGCAATAGCTGGTTTTTAAATTGAAGCGTGGTTGGCTATAGCTGTTTTTTGTGTTAAAAGTTTTATGGGATAAGTGTAGATTCACATGTAGTTTTAAGAAATAATTGAGTGATGCCCCCTAGCCAATTTCCCCCAAAGGTGGCATCTTGTAAAAACTCCGGCGAAACATCCTGAGCTGGATACTGATGTGCTATAACGCGCAGATCTTACTCACCCTGGGCTGACTTGTTTCACTGTGTGTCTGTGCATTTGGTTCCCTGCAGTTTTATCACGTGACCTTTGCACGTCCACGGCCACAGTCAAGGTATAGAACGTTGCCATCACCAGGACGTTTACTTGAGTCGCGTCTCTGTTCTCCTCTCCCTGACTCTTGGCCCCCCTGTATCTTCTCTCTCTCTCTAGAACTTTGTTGCTTCAAAATTGTTACCTAGTCGATGCATATAGTATGTCACCTTTTGAAATTGGCTTTTTTTTTTCCACTCCAGGGAGATCCCTGAAGACTAAACCAAGTTGTTGCGTGTATCACTAGTTCCTTCCTTTTTATTGTTCGGTCCTGTTCCCTGTATAAGTATGCTATAGTTTAAGAGTTCATCTGTCAAAGAGGATTTCTGGTTCCTCCTGCCCTCCCCCCCACCAAACCCAGTGTTCGATTATTAGCAGCAAGACTGCCACGGATGTTCACGTACAGGTTTTTGAATAAATAGAAGTTTTCGTATCTCGGACACGAATACCCAGCAGTGCAATCCCTGGTTATACGTTATTTGCATGTTTAGTTTTTTATGAGTGATCCGGTTTCTCCGCATCCTTGTTTCTTCTCTTTATGTTGTTCCTTCTTCAGACCTCTTTCCTCATATCCTTCCTGACAGAAGATTTTCCTTTAACCTTTCTGTAGGAGTAAGCCTGCCAGGGACAAAAATCTTTTTTGTTTTCCTTTGTGTGCGATGTCTTTATTTCCCCTTCTTTCTGGAAGGATAGTTTCATCCAATGTAGAATTTGTGGATGCGAGTTCTGGTATTACAGCTCCTGAAAACCTTTTATTTGTAGAAATGCCAGGAGAAGCAGAAGCCAGCCTTGGAAACAGTACGGAGTCAGTATATTACCCAAGTTCCCGGGGAGATGGCAGTGGCCAAGATACTGTCTCATCTGTTTTCATCCTTCCTAATTTTGGTGAGTTTGAAATGATACATATTACAAGTCATGCCTCTAGCTTCCCCAACATCTTTAATGCCAAGTCAGTGCCAGCTCTTTTTTTAATGAAGCTTTTTATTTTGAGGTAATTGTGGATTCGCATGTAGCTGTCAGAAATGATATCTGGGATCCCATTTATGTTTTACCCATTTTTCCCCAATGATCACCTCTTGGAAAACCATAGTAAAATAGCACAACTAGGTAGTGGCATTGATTCAGTCCACATTTGTGTGTGTGTGTGTGTGTGTGTGTGTGTTTTCAGTTCCGTGCAATTTTATTCCATGAATTTTATTTATCATCATAGTTGTGACCCAGAATGCTTTCATTGTCACTGCCTGTTGCCCTTTAATGACCTCAATGACCTTCCTCTGGCCACCTTTTCTTCATATCCTAGCAAAGAGTGAACTGATCTCCCTTTCTAGAATTTTGTCACTTGAATATTGTTATTTAAATGGAATTAAAATACGATATAGCCTTTGGGCATGACTTTTTTTTCCCCTAAAAAAATGGTCGAATGTTCTCCCATGGTAAGGATCTACAACTGTTTGTTTCTTCACCCATGGAAGGATATCCAGGAGATTTCTAACTTTTGCCCATTAGAACTTTAACTCTGTAAACAGTTATGTACTGGCTTTTCTGGACACTTAAATTTATACATATTTTCTAAAGATTTTTAAAAAATTTATTCGACAGAGAGAGAGCACAAGTAGGCAGAGAGGCAGGCACAGAGAGGAGGAATCAGGCTCCCCGCTGAGCAGAGAGCCTGATATGGGGCTCGTTCCCAGGACCCTGAGATCACGACCTGAGCTGAAGGCAGAGGCTTTAACCCACTGAGCCACCCAGGCACCCCAATTTTATATTTTTTTTGCGGTGAATGCCCACGAGGGCAATTTTGGGTCATATGATAATTTCCTGTGTAGTTTTACAAGAAACTGCTAAACATTTTCTTAGAGGAGCTGTGTCATTTGACTTTCCACATATAATATATAAATGACACAATTTCTCTTTATGCCTTTATCTTCTCTTTCCATTGTTCTTTCTCCTTGATACTTAAAGATCCATTCTTTCATCATACCTTTTCTGTTTAAATATTTTCCTTTGGCCTTTATTTAAGGGTAAGTCTGCAAGGGACAAGTTCTTTCAGGTTTTCTTCATGTGACAATGTCTTTATTTCCTATACAGTAATGAAGGATAGTTTTGCTACATAGAGAATTAACGGTTGGGAGATCTTTTCTTAAGCACTTGAAAAATGTTCTTTCTGTACAAATGCCAGTAATAACAGAGACCAGCTTGGAAAACAACCCTGAGATGACAAATTACCAAACTCTATCAGGAAATAACAGTGACCAATGTTCATCTGTCTGCCTCCCACCCAACTTTGGTGAGTTTCAAATAATGCGTATTATAAGTAGCGCTGTGTTTAATCTAGATGTATCAGCATCCTTAATGGAAGCTAGTGGTAGTTCTTTTTTTAAAAAATTAAGCTATTTTAAAACAATTTTAGGTTCACATATATTTATAAGAAACAAGATCCAGACATCCATTTTAAGCTTTGCCCATTTTTCCCACTGATAACATCTTGCAAAACTGTAGTAAAATATCCCAATAAGGGTATTGACGTGGATGCAATATACAGATATTACTGAGATGTGCCCAGCTGTACTTGTGGTGATTTGTGTGCATTTGTATTTATTTGAATCTCATTTTATCATGTGAGTAGCTTTGATGTCCACCACCCCAGTCAGGATACAGAACATTTCCATTGCCATTGAAATGCCTCATCTTGCTCCTTTTTAAAATGATTTTATTTATTTATTTATTATTTGAGAGAGAGTGAGTGTGTGTGTGTGAGCGCACGAGCCAGGGGCAGGGGTAGAGGGAGAGAAAGAATCTCAAGCAGCCTCCTCACCAAGTGTGGAGAAGTCTGACACAGTCTGACTCGATCCCACAACCCTGAGACCATGACCGGAGCTGGAACCAAGAGCCAGAGGCTTAACTGACTGAGCCTCCGAGCAGGCATCCCTCGTCTTGCACTTTTATTTTATATTATTTTTTTAAAAAGATTATTTATTTATTTATTTGACAGACAGAGATCACAAGTAGGCAGAGAGAGAGGAGGAAGCAGGCTCCCCGCCAAGCAGAGAGCCGGGAGTGGGGCTCGATCCCGGGACCCTGGGATCGTGACCTGAGCCGAAGGCAGAGGCTTTAACCCGCTGAGCCACCCAGGCGCCCCCTCGTCTTGCACGTTTAGAACCATACCCCCCTCTGTCGGGCTGCCCTTTCCTTCCCCATCGTCCATTCCCCCAGCCCCTGGCAAACACCGCTCTCTATAATTTTGTCACTCCAAGACTGTTCTATAAAGGGAATCTTACGGTATGTAACCTTTGAAGATTGTTCCGTGTTTTTCCGTCAGCATAATTCCCTGAAGACTCATCCAGATTGTTGGATGGAGCAGCGCATTTTCCCTTTTGTGTAGCTGCCGTGTGCAAGAGTCGTTTGCAGCCGTTCAGCCACCGGAGGACATGAGTTGTTGTCGCTTTGTCCCCCCTGGTTTTTGGTATTGGGAGTAAAGCTGCCGTGAACATCCACGTCCCGGTTTTTGTGTAAATAATGTTTTTGTTTCTGTCACGAATGCCAAGAATGCAGTTGTTGGATCTTCTGGTAATAGCTTGTTTCGTTCTATAAAGCAACCGTCAAACAGCTTTCCAGAGACACTACCAGTTTTCATTCCCACCAGCAATGGATGAGTGATTGTGTCTCTCTGTAGCCACATTTCTGTTCTTCCCATTGTGCTTTCTTTCTTCCTGATGTTCCACATTCCCTTCTTTCATCATGTCCTTTCTGTTGGAAGAGTTTCCTTTCCTCTTTATATACAGGTAAGTTTGCTGGGGACAGATTTTAGATTTCCTTTGTTGCAGAATTCTCTTTTGTCCTGAAGGGTAGTTTTGCCTCATGGAGAATTCACAGTTGACAGTTCTTGTCTTTCAGCGGTTGAAAAATTCATACTCATAGAAGTGCCGGAAAAATCAGAAACCAGCCAGGAAAACAGCTCTAAGACAATCTATTACCCAGCTTTACTGGGAAGTATCAATGGCCCAGGGACTGACTCTTCATCTGCCTCACTCCCACCCAATTTTGGTGAGTTCAAAATGATACATATCACGTGTAGCCCTGTTTCATCTAGGTTCATCGACATCCTTAATACAAGCCAGTTATAGCTTTTGTTGAAACTTTTAATTTTGATGTAATTCAAGATTTGGTGCCGTTGTAAGAAATAACACAGAGAGATCCCGCTTATGCTTTCCGTATTTTCCCCAGTGATACCTAACCCGGCAGAGCCGTAGTTGAGTGTTACAACCCAGCCATTGACATTGATACGGTTCACAGGTGTGATCGAGATGCCTCCGGTTTTACTTGCACCCGTGTGTGTGTGTGTGTGTGTGTGTGCATGTGTGTATTTATTACTATGTAATTTAATCGTATGAGTGGGTTCGCACATCTACCACAGTCAAGGTAGAGATCACATCCATCACTCAAGGATCCCTTGTTAGTGCATCTTTTTACAACCCTACCCACCTCCCCTGCCCCCAAGACCTATCTTCAACACCGGGCTATCTCCGATCTTTTCTCCGTTGCTGTAATTTTGTCTCTTCAGATTGTTATAGAAGTGGAGTCTTCCATGATGTGACCTTTTCGGATTAGCTTTTTTTCCCCCACTCAGATGAATTGCCTGGACACTCATCTAGTTTATTGTCTGTATCAATAGTTTATTCCTTTTATTGCTGAAAATAGTGCTATGGATATATTACATTTTGTCTGATTGTTCACTTACTGAAGGACATCTGAATTTTTTTCAGTGTTTGGCCATTAGGGAGCAAAGCAGTTTTAAATATCCGTGTACACAGTTTTGGGTAAATATAAGTTTTTATTTCTCATCAATTGATGGAGAGTTTCCCGTGGTATAGATATGCAACAGTTTGTTTTTTTTTTAAACATTCACACATTGAAGGACATCTGCTTTTTTTTTTCTTTCCAAGTTTGTGGATACAAGAAGTAAAGTTGAGCTGCTGTGAACATTCACGTACTGATTTTTATGTAAATACAAGTTTTCATTTCTCTGTCATGAATGCCAAGCGTGAAGTTGCTGAGTCTTAACGATAATAGCATGTTTGGTTTTATAAAGACTGCCAAACAGTTTTCCAGAGAGGCTGGACTAGTCTACATTTCCAGTAGCAATGTATGGGGGATCCACTTTCTCCCCATCTATATTTCTGATCTTTCTAGTACTATTTCTTCCGTACTGATGCCACAGGCTTCCTTCTTTCATACTATCCTTTCCGTTGGGAGATCTTCCATTAGCTATCTTCTAATAGTAAATCTGCTAGGAACAGTTTTTTAAAAGATTTTTCTTTGTGCAAGAGTGTCTTTATTTCCTCTTTCTTTCCTGAAAGATAATCTCACTCAGTACAGAATTCACAGTTAAGAGTTCTTGTCTTTCAACAGTTGAAAAAGTTGTACTTGTAGAAACGCCAGAAAATGCGGAAACCAGCCTGGAAAACAGCTGTCAGACAGTGTATTACCAAACTTCATCGGGAAATGACAGTGACCCAGCTCCTGCCTCTTCATCTTTCTCCATCCCGCCCGATTTCGGTTAGTTTGAAATGATACATATTTCAAGTAGCACTGTTTAATCTAGAAGTATCAACATTCTTCGTGCCAGCTAGCGATAGCTTTTTTAAAATATTAAACTTGTGATATCGTAGTAATTTAAGATACCCATGTAGTTGTAAGAAATAATGCAGAGAGATCTCATTGATGCTTTACCCATTTCTGCCAGTGATAACATGTTGCAGAATTATGATAGACCATCACAGCCAGGGTACTGACATTGATACCACCCACGAGTCTTACTGAAAGGCCCCCAATTCCACTGTATTGATTTTTGTGTATGTGTTAATTCTGTTTGATTTTATCATATGAGTAGGTTTGGTGTCCACAACCACGGTCAAGATAGAGAACATTGCCATCACCATGAGGATGCGTCACCTTGCCTTTCTGAAACCGCACCCATCTGAGCATAACTCGCTGGAGAGTAATCTGACTTGTTGCGTGTATCAACATTTCCTTCTTTTTTGTTGCTTTGTACTATTCCATGGTGCGGGGGTTCACGGTTTGTGTATTGGTTGAAGAATGTCTGGACTTCGTTCCAGCTTTCAGTATTACAAGTAAAATTGCTGTGACCGCTTATGGACAGGTTTTTGTGTAAACATAAATCTTGATTTCTCTTAGATAAATGCCTGAGAATGCAAATGCTTGCTTGTGCAGTAATTGCATGTTTAGTATAATAAGAACCTGCCCCCACGGTTTTCCAGAGACGCGGCACCATTTTACTTTCCTGCCAGCAATGTAGGTGCGGTCCAGTTTCTCCGCATCCAGATTTCTGCTGCGTTTGTCATTCTTTCTTCCTTTTTAATGCTCCACAATTTGTTTTTTCACCATTCTTTTCTGACAGATTTTCATTTAACTGTTCTCAAATGTAAGTCAGCTAGTGACAAAGACTTCTGGCTTTCCTTTGTGTGAGAATGTCATAATTTTCCCTTCATTCTTTTTTTTTCTTTTAACAGTTTGGATATTCATTTCTTGTTTTCAGCATCATGGAGGTAAAATTGACAGATAAAGTTGTAATATATTTAGAGCGTGTAGAGGGTGATGATTTGATGTACCTGTACCTAGTGAAATGATTCCTGCCATTGAGTTCATTAACATATTTGCCATCTTGCATATTTACCTTTCATATTTTGGCGGGGAGAATGCTCAGTTCTACTCTAAGCAGATTTCAGTGATGCGATGCACTATTACGAGCTATGGTCACCAGGCTGTACACTAGATCCTCTTTCCCTACCTACCATATAACTGAAAGTTGGTACCTTTTTACCAGCCTCTCCCCACTTCCCTCACCCCCCTGGCCCCTGGCAACTGCTGTTCATTTATTCTACCTTCTGTTCTTATGAGTTTGACTTTTTTTTTTCTTTTTAGATTCCACATGTAAGTGATAGCATGCAGTATTTGTCTTTTTTTACTTGTCTGGCTTATTTCACTTAGCATAATGCCCTCCAAGTCCATTCGTTAATGTTCTCACAAGTCTGCTCCTTTATTGAAGGACAGTTTTGCCCGATCGAGATTTCACGGCTGAGATTTCGTGTCTTTCAGTATTTGAAAATATTTTAATTGTAGGAATGTTTGTAAACGCTCAAACCAGCCCAGAAGAGAACCCTGAGACAATAAGTTATCCAGTTTTATTGGAAGACCGCAGTAGTCAGGACATTTCCTCGTTACGTTGCCTTCCTCCCGGTTTCGGTGAGTTTGAAATGATACATTTGACACGTAGCATTTTTAATCTAGATTCATCAACATCCTTAGTGTAAGATAGTGGTAGATTTTTCTTTTTTTAAATTTTTAGAAAAAGATTTTATTTATGTATTTGAGAGAGAGAGAGAGCGAGAATGAGCACAAGCGGCGGGGAGGAGCTGGGAGACAGGGACAAGCAGACTTCCCACGGAGCAGGGACCCCAATGTGAGACTTGATCCCACGACCCTGGGATCATGACCTGAGCTGAAGGCAGACGCTTAACCGACTGAGCCACGCAGGCGCCCTGATAGTGGTCACTTTTTCTTTTTTTTTTTTTTTTTAAAGATTTTATTTATTTATTTGACAGACAGAGATCACAAGTAGACAGAGAGGCAGGCAGAGAGAGAGAGAGAGAGAGAGGGAAGCAGGCTCCCCGCCGAGCAGAGAGCCCGACGCGGGACTCGATCCCAGGACCCCGAGATCATGACCCGAGCCAAAGGCAGAGGCTCAACCCACTGAGCCACCCAGGCGTCCAGTGGTCACTTTTTCTGATCAAAGTTTTTATTTTCAGAAAAATTTAGCTGCACGTGCAGTTGTAAAAAAGAATACAGAGAAAACCTGTGTTCTCATTCTCCGATTTCTCCCAATGGTAACATCTTGCAAAAACAGTAGAAAATTATCACAACATATTGCTCTCTTGTAACCACACCTACTCCCTCCAGAGGACTTTTCTCCCCAGTTCCATGTGTTGCCCTGTCTCTTAACTACTGGCAATCTAGAATCTGCTGTCCAGATCTATAATCTGTCCATTCAGCGTTGTTCTATAAATGGAATTGCATGGTGTTTGATATTGGTTTCTTTCCTTCAGTGTAATTTCCTGGGAGCTCGTTCGTGTTGCTGCAGGGATCAGTCATTTCTTCCTTTTTCTTGCTGAGTACTATTCCAATGTAGGGATACACCAAGATTTTTTTAAAATCTCTTCATCTGTTCAAAACCTTCAGATTTCCTTTTTTTTTTTTTTTAAAGATTTATTTATTTATTTGACAGACAGAAATCACAAGGAGGCAGAGAGGCAGGCAGAGAGAGAGGAGGAAGTAGGCTCCCTGCTGAGCAGAGAGCCCGATGCGGGGCTTGATCCCAGGACCCTGGGATCGTGACCGGAGCTGAAGGCAGAGGCTTTAACTCACTGAGCCACCCAGGCGCCCCCAGGTTTCCTGTTTTTAACTGTTAGGGTTAGAGCTGCTATGATACTTGTTTATCATATTTAGTTTTGCTTTTCATTCATTGCACTCTTTCACACAAGTTTTTATTTCTCTGGGATGAATGCCCAAGAGCACAATTTCTGGGTCCTTTTGTAATTGCATCCTTAGTTTTATAAGAAACTGAGAAACTGCTTTCCAGTGTAGCTTGTACCATTTTCCTGCCAACAATGCATGAGTGATCCAGTTTCTCTGCATCCATATTTTTGCTCTTTCCATTGTTCTTTCTCCCCAATGCTCCAGAATTTTTTCTTTTATATGTGTTCTTGTAAGACGATTTTCCTTTAACCTTTTTTTAAAGCATAAATCAGTTAGTGACAAATATTTTTGGTTTTCTTTGTCCATAAATATCTTTATTTTTGCTTCAGTACAGAAGAATAGTTTCATTGGATATAGAACATGAGGTTGGTAGTCTTTTCTTCTAGCATTTAAAAAATGTTGTCCTTATAGAAGTTTTGGTCAAAGCAGAAACCAGCCTGGAGAATAGCACCCAGATGACAGATTATCAAGCTTTGGTGGAAAATGACAATGGTCAAGAAACTTCAGCATATTACTTCATTCCTTCCAATGTGGGTGAGTTAAAATGAAACATATTACAAGTAGCCCTATGTGATCTAGAATCATTAGTACCCTTCGTGTGATCTAATGGTAGCTTTTCCTAATTAAAAATTAATTAAAATTAATTAGGTAAAAATTAGAAGTTCTGTATTGAGAAAATTTTAGCTGCACATCTGTGTACCCTTCACCCTGTTTCCCCCAATGATACAATCTGGCGGAACTATAGTATCACAAGCAGTGTATAGACATGGATACAATCCACGGATTTTATTGAGATCTTCTCAGTTTTATTTGTATCTGTGCATGGGTTTATGTGTGTTTTATGTTTTATGTTAGTAATTTCATGATGTGAGTTGCGTTTCATACCCTCCATCACCCTTTAAACCCACACCTGTTTCCCTCTTCCTACTCTCTTATGCCTACTCTGCCCTGTCCTTGCCCTTGGTAGCCACTCATCTGCTCTTCTTCTTTAGAATTTTGTCTTTTCAAGAGCTTTCTGTAGATAGACTCACATGGCATATAATCTCTCAGAATGGCCTTTCCTCACTCAGCATGATTCCCTCCAGCTTCATCTAAGTTGCCATGTATGTCTCTAGTTCTTCCTTTTTAATCGCTGACTACTATTCCATGGTATGGATCTACCGTGGTTTGTTTATCTGCCCCTGGTTGAAGGATGTCTGGGTTGTTTCCAGTTTGGGGCTATTAGGAGTAAAGCTGCCATGTACTCGTGTACAGGCTTCTGTGTGAATATCAGTTTTCATTTTTCTGAGAGAACGCCCAAGAGCACAGTTGCTGGGTCCTACGGTAAAGGTAAGTTGAGTTTTGTAAGATACTGCCTAACTTCTTTCCAGTGTAGCTGTACCATTTCCACTCCCACCAGTGATTTATGAGTGATCTTGTTTTTTCTGCGTGCACGATTCTGCTCTTTCTGTTCTTCTTTCTTCCTTCTTTATGCTCCAAGACTCCTTCCTTCATCATATCCTTTTGCTCATATTTCCCTTTAGCCATGTTTTAAAGATAAGTCAGCCAGCAACACTTTTTTTTGTAGTTTTCCTTTGTCTGACATTGTCTTTATTTCTGCTTCATTCTTTTTTTTTTTTTTTTAAGATTTTATTTATTTATTTGACAGAGAGAGATCACAAGTAGGCAGAGAGGCAGGCAGAGAGAGAGGAGGAAGCAGGCTCCCTGCGGAGCAGAGAGCCCGATGCGGGACTCGATCCCAGGACCCTGAGATCATGACCTGAGCCGAAGGCAGCGGCTTAACCCACTGAGCCACCCAGGCGCCCCCTGCTTCATTCTTAAAAGATAGTTTCGCGTGATAGAAAAATCACTGTTGAGATTTCTTGTCTTGCAGCACTTGAGAATGTTTCACTGATCAAAATGTTGTTCAAACAGAATCTGGCAAAGAAATGAATTCTGAGACAACGAATTCCCCAATTTTAATGGAAAATGACAACGAACAAGATACTGGCTCAGAATCTTTCTTTCTTGCTCCTGGTTTTGGTGAGTTTGAAATGTTGTGACAAAATTACATATTGTGAGTAGCACTCTCTAATTTATGTTCATCAACATTCTTAATATGAATTCTTAGTGATAGCTTTTTCAAAATTAAAATTTTCATTTGAAGATATTTCAGAATCACATGTAATACATGAAATTAATACAGAGAGATCTTGTGTACCCTCAACCACATTTCTCCCAAGGCTAATATTTTGTAAAAATAGAGTAAAATATCAAAAGTAGGATTTTGACATCAGTACAATCTACACATCTATTCATATGTCCCCAGACTTACTTGCTTTCATTTGTTTGTTTGCATGTGTGTTTTGTGCTCTGTACTTTTGTAAGATGCTTGTGTTCAGGTATTTGCCACTATAGTCATGATACAGAAGCGTCTCATTACTTCCAAGAACCCTCTCGTTGCCTGTTTATAACCATGTCGTGTGTCGTTCCTTCCCTGGCTTCATCTCTAACCCATTCAAGGGCTAATGTGTTCTCTCCTTTATAATTTTGTAGTATTTTATGGAAGAGTATATGAGAAATTGGTGTTGCTTTTTTAAATGTTTGGTGAAAAATCTCTGGTAAAATCATTCAGGCCTATAGATTCCTTTTCTGAAGGATTTTAACTGCAAATTTAATGTCTTTGGTGGTTATAGGACTACTTAGATATCTATGTCATCTTGGTTGAGTTTTGGTCTGTGTAATTTTGGAGGAATTGCTACTTCTAAGTTATCAAATTTATGAACGTAAAGCAGTTTGTTGTATTCCCTATTATCATTTTGATGGCTGCTGGATTACTTCTTTCATCCCTGGTATCGATGATTTGTGTCATCTCTTTCTTTTTGTAATTCTTTTTAGAGTTTTATTAGCTTTATTAATCTTTTGGAGGCATCAGTTTTTTGTTTCATTGATTTCATATTTTTCAGTTTCACTGATTTTTATTCTTTATTATTTCATTCTCTTTGCTTATTTAGAGTTTATTTTACTCTTCTTAGTTGTTGGTGTAGGAACTTAGATTATAGATTTAGAACTGTTCTCTTTTCTAATACAAGCATTTATATTATGCTATAGATTTCAGATTACAGATATATGCTATAGATTTCATTTTCAGTACTGCCTTAGTTATATTTTGATGTGTTGTATTTTCATTAAGTCCTATGTATTTTATTATTTCTTTGAAAACTTTCTATTGTCTATTCCTGATTCCTAATTTGATTCTATTCTGGTCAGAAAATATACTCTATATGATATCTTTTCTTTTAAACTTGTTGAGATTTTTTTCCTCTGGTGTAGGATGTGCCTTGTTTTGGTGAAAGATCCGTAGGCATTTCAACTTTGCACACATTCCCTAGCACAGAGGAACATTTGTTCCATAGGCATTCGAAAAAAAAATCTATTCTGGTTTTGTTGGGTGGAATGTTCTATAATGAGAATCCTGTTGGTCGAGTGTGTTGTTCAGATCTTCTGTATCCTTGCTGATTTTTGGTCTGCTTATTGCACCGGTTGCTAAGAGAGGGGGGATGTGAGGTCCTCAAATTTAATTATGGATTTCATTATTTCTTCTTTTAGCTCTTTCAGTTTTTGTTTCATGTATTTTGAGAATTTATCATTTGGTATGTTGAGAATCATTGTCTTCCTCAGGGTTGATCTTTTTCATCTTTGTTTGTAGTAAATTTCTTTGCTCTGAAGTCTACTTTATCTGATGTCAACGCAGCTACTCTGCTGTGTTTTGGACTTATGTTTGCATGGTATATGCTTCTCCATCGTTTTACTTTCAATCAATCTATGTAATTGAATTTGTAGAGTTTCTTGTAAACACCACAGAGTTGATCTTTTTTATCCACGTTATCACTTGTTTTCATTTAATTGATATGGTTAGGTTAATTACATATCAGATAATCATTGCTATCATAGACTTAAGTCTATCATTTTGTTACATTTCTTTTGTTTCCTATTTTCTCATTTTTTAAAGTTTCTTCAATTAATTTTTTTAAAAAGATTTTATTTATTTATTTGACAGAGAGATCACAAGTAGGCAGAGAGGCAGGCAGAGAGGCGGGGTGGGGGGCGTGGAAGCAGGCTCCCTGCTGAACAGAGAGCCCGATGTGGGGCTCCATCCCAGGACTCTGGGATCATGACCTGAGCTGAAGGCAGAGGCTTTAACCCACTCAGCCACCCAGGCGCCCCTTTAATTAATTTTTTTAAGTAATCTCTACAGCCAATGTGGGCCTTGAACTCATGACCCCGAGACTGAGAGCTGCATGCTCTACTGACTGGGCCAGCCAGGCGCCCCTCTCATTCTTTTTTTTGTTTATCTTCTTTTGCCTTCCTATGGGTTACGTGAATATTTTTCTAGTGTTCCATCTTTATGTTTTTTAATATATTGCTTTGTACAGTTTTCCCAGTGGTCGCTCTGGATGTTATTTTATATATATGTGACTTATCACAGTCTACTGGTCTCAGCATTTTACCACTTGGGATGAAGTGTTGAAACTTTTAATTCCACTTAATTTCCTTTGCCCTCCTCACTTTTAACTTATTGTCTTGGATGTCAGATGGCGTTTTCATTTTTGTGTTGGTCATGAAGCATGATTTATAGAAGTCATGATTACATTATATTCATCCATATTTCTGCCTCTTCTGTTCTTTATTTCTTGTTATTATTGAATGGTATTCTGTGGTATTAGATTTACCATGGCTTGTTGAACCATTCACCTGTTGAAGGACAACTGGGTTGTCACGGTTTTGGCTATTATGAATAAAGGTAAGAACACTCGTGTGCAGGGTTTGGTGTCATATCATGAGCTTTAATTTCTCTGGGATAAATGCCCAAGAGTGAAATTTCTGTGTCATGTGATCCTTCATTGAAGATTTAGTTTTATAAGAAACTGCCAAACTGTTTTCCAGTGTAGCTGTTCCATTTTTTTTTAAGATTTTATTTATTTATTTGACAGACAGAGATCACAAGCAGGCAGAGAGGCAGGCAGAGAGAGAAGGGGAAGCAGGCTCCTTGCTGAGCAGAGAGCCCGATGCGGGGCTTGATCCCAGGATCCTGAGATCATGACCTGAGCCGAAAACAGCGGCTTAACCCACTGAGCCACCCAGGCACCCCTAGCTGTTCCATTTTATACGGAATGAATGATCAAGTTTCCCTTCATACATACTTCTGCTATTTCTGTTGTTCCCTTTTCCTTCCTGATGCACCAAGATTCTTTCTGTCATCATAACTTTTCTGTTGATCTTCCTGTAGCCACTCCTTAAGAGTAGGTCTGCTAGTGACAAACACTTGTGGTTTTCTTTGTCTGAGAATGTGTTTATTTCCCCTTCACACCTGAACAATAGTTTGCCGGATGGTGAATTTACAATTGAGACTCCTTTTCTTCCAGCGCTTTTACCTGTAGAAATACTGTTAAAAGCAGAAAGCAGAGTGGGAAATGTCCCTGAGATAATGAATTACCCAGTTGTATTGGAAAAGGACAATAACCAAGATTCTGTCTCGCCATCTCTCTGCGGCCCTTCTGGTTTTGGTAAGTGCGAAATGACACATATTACAAGCAGCGCCATTTAACCTACATTCTTCAAACGTCCTTGATACAGGCTAACGGAAGCTTTTTGTTTTCTATTTTAAAGGTTGGTTTTAGGTTATATTAATCAGAATGGCTAACACTTACTGAGTATTATGTACAAGACACTGTGCTAATCAACTGACATATCTCTTCTCTATTAATATTCAAATGACTTCCTAAGTAGGTGTTTTTATTACTCCCATTCTCAAAGTCACAGAGCTAGTGAGTGGCAGTTCTGGAACTCTCGGTCCTCTCTGACTTAAAGCTCATGTTTCTTCACAGCCTCCTGTATTACCTGCCAAGCCACAGTGGCAGAGAGGAGGGGACCCTAAGTTCTGTAGTTTCTAAGGGCAAGCCTTCCTAATATTTTATAGTTCTTTATTGTCTCTACTTCTGGTAGCTATTCTCTTATTAATATTCTAGCACAGGGCTCAGCAAACTTTTTCAGTAATGGGCTAGATCAGAACTATTTTAGGCTCTGTGGGCCATCTGGTGTCTGTCACAACTACTTAGCTCTGCTGCTGTCGCATGAAAGCAGCCACAGATGTAGGTAGATGGATGGGTGTGGCTGTGTGCCAGTGTAACTTGCTTTACACAAACTGGTGTTGGCCTGGGGACTGTAGTTTGCGGACTCCTGTCCTAGAGGAGATGCTTTTCTTTTAAATTGTTTTGCTAACTAAACTAGAAAAAATCTTTAAATATTGTATTCTTTATTACTAAATGGGCACTATGATATGCTGTGGTTAGAAGTATACGGTGGTGAAAACTTTCTGAAGGGTAATCTGTATAAAAATCCGTGGAAGTATTCATGCCAGTTGACTCAGTAATCCCACTGATACCTGAAAATTCAATCAATAGAAAAGATTTGTATTTAAGTTTTGGTACAGTAATGTTCTTTTCAGAATCGTGAAAAATTGGAAACAGCCAAACAAGCAACCATAGGGAATTAGCTAAGTTACTCCTGGTACATCCGTGGGGTATGAAACAGTAAAGCACAATGGTCAAGAGCATGGGCTCCTGAGTCAGACCGTCTGGGGTCAAATCCCAGCTCTGTGTCTTACTAACCATGTGGTCTTCAGCCACGTCTCTAACCTAAGTATTAGTTTCTTCCTTTGGGGAAGTGATGAAAATCATCGTACCTATTTCATAGAAGGGTGAGACTCAAATGGAATAATTCACTGAAAGCCCTTAACACAGTGCTCAGAAGGTAAGTGTAACATAAATGTCACCTGTCAGGAAAATCATGAAGATAGGAATGCTGACTTGAAAAAAAAACCCAAAGAAAATGAAGACATGCTCGAAATAGAATGGTAACTGAAGAAGCAGGATTCAGACTATATACAAAGTATGATTTTAATTCTGTGTTTAAAAAAGAAGAAATAACAAAAAGACTAGAAGGCATTAGCAGAGTAATGGTTCACAGCACTTGGCTTATAAACAGATTTGAAAACCTGGCTCTGTGACCTTGTTCAAATGCCTTACCTTCTGTGGCCCTCAGTTTCCTCTTCGAAGGGGTGACAAGTTGTTAGGATAATGAAACCGAGCTTATAGATGTAAAATATTTAGCCCAGTGCCTGATATGTATAGTAGTTACTCAATAAATGCTAGCTTTTTCAAAATTTTCTTAATTATGCCCACCCATACATTCCAGATTATCTTTAGGGAACATATACTCCTACAGTAATATGGCTCTGAGTGTACTTTTAGATGATAAAAGGGAGCCCATGCTTGCATATGCATCTTTGGCCGAGACTTGAATTTATTCAAGACAATGAAATGACTAGTTCAAGTACCAAAAATTCAAGAAGAGCAAAGGTGAAAAATGCTAAGTTATGCAGATGGCATCAAAGAGACCTTTTTAAGGAAGAGAGAAGTATAGGAAAAGATTCATCCAAGTAGAAATTAGTGAATTAGAAATCAATTAGTTTAATTTTCTTGGGAACTTTCTTGGTAGCCTTGCATGAGAAAACCAAGACTTTACTTTCTCTCTGTGTTTTAAAAGGGTATCTTGGTGATCCGAAAAGGAATGTCAGGTTGCTTAATACTAATTTGCTGACTGCGCAAAAGAAGAGCCATCCGAGGCATGCAGCCCGCTACTTGGTTCATGTTTTGTTCTCCAAGGAAATTCTGGTACGCAGCTGGGTAGGCATCAATTCCCAAGGCCGCCAACCTCTAGATCCAAACAAAGTGGCTGCAATAAGAGGTATGTAAACTCTTTATGAAGTCTTGTCTGATCATCACTGGGTTGTCTGATGAATGTTATTGGTAGTTTAAGAGCTAGTGATGAAGACTGTGTAAATCTTAGAGCTATTTTTCACCTGTCTGACCCCGATTTTACAATTTAATGTAATGGGTAACAACTTGTAAAGAATGCAACTTGTCCGTACATAATGGAATAAGACAAGATTTATTTTTAATTTTTTTTAAAGATTCAAAAAATTTATTGCACAGAGAGAGAGAGAGAGAGACCGCACAAATGGGGGGCGTGGGTGGCAGGCAGAGGGAGAGGGAGAAGCAGGCTCCCTGCTAAGCAGAAAGCCCTACATGGGGCTCCATCCCAGGACCCCGGGATCATGACCCGAGCTGAAAGCAGGCGCTTAACCAACTGAGCCACCCAGGCGCCCCAAGACAAGTTTTGTTGATTATAGCTGCTTATGGCTAGAACTAAGTCAATTTTTTAGTGCTCAAGCTTGGTACTAAAAAAATAAAGAAAAAAGCCCCAAAAATGGGGAGTATTAAAACATACTTTGGTACTACTAACTGGCAAAAGAGAAATAGAAAGTCATGATTAATCTAATTCAGCCTCCTGCCTTCCCCACTTCCAGTGATTTGGTTGAAGGTTGTAGACTCATGGGCACTGAGACCACAACAACGAATAAGTATTTCTGACCTCAAGGAGCTCACAGTCTAGAAAGGGACTGTTGAGGGAAACAGATCAATCCCAGTCCAGGGCGATAATGTTGTAGAAGCTCAGAGAGTAGAGCAACTACTCTGCGGGCATTGGGGGAGGCTTATTAAGGACAGGACACTTGAGCTAGGTTTGAAATCCTTAGCTAGATAAATAGGAAGGATATTCTAGGCAGAGGGAATAGCTTCTAGGGAAGATGGACACGTAGTGTCCCAAATAAATACACTGCAGTCTAAGAGTGTTGGCTATAACACCATTTCCTGCTTACAGATTTTCTTTTCAGTTTTAATATATCCATAGGGTTATTCAATGGCATTAGCCCCCAGAAATAGTTGACCTTCTGTTACACACTTTTTTTTGAAAGCACCATAACCTCATTGCTTCTCAGCTTTTTGGCTAAGATTTAAGTATAGTATCTGTTCTTAGTTTAATAAAAGCACCACAACCTCATTAGTGGCTCCCCACATCAGTGTTTTATAGGGGAATTGCACCTTAGAAGAAGTGAGACACTCAGGAAAGCATCCTTTTTTGGTAGAATTTTTAAACTCTCAGAAAGAGAGAAAAGAGCAGCAATTCAAAATAGAAAATAGTATTTTCAACTAAAAAAGTCTCATCAGTTCTTTGGGTTTTGTTTTCTTTTTATAAAATTTTCATGAATGTTTTCCACTATTTGCAGAACATCTGGCAACAAATTTTCCCAACCATGATTTGCGTGAATGTGGAAAAGACTGGAAAACCTGTGTTGCTGATATCAATTCTCTGATCTATTGTTTATGTGCTGAATCCATCACAGCACCAGTAAGTTATTTTTTATTTAAATATGGTCACTGCTGTATCAGGGCATACTGTATACAGTTCCAGAATGGAGAGTGTGACACACGGGATCTTTAGGCCGTGTGTTCAAAATCTTGTTTATTTAATTTTGGGGGCAGCGTATGGTCTCTGCCTGTTTATTTTACTCTTTGACATTGATGCTCCATACAAATATCCTAAAGAGAAAATAATTCAAATGGTGTGTTACGATCGGTGTATTTGAAGGCATAGGGTATATGAAGAAGAGTTCTCAGCTGCAGAGATGTTTGGGAAATCTTTTTCAGCATCCTGCTGAGTACTGCAGAGAAGGGGAGACTGTGGCATGGCAGCAAAGGGAGGCGCTTCTGTCTTTGTCCATTTTCAGTGATGGCAGAAGCTGGTGGACATCGTGCTGGCCATGAGGTTCACCTGCTGCCTGTATCTTACCGTGTCCCTAGTTACTTGTTAAACGGGAATCTGGCTTTTCTCGCATCCATTTGATCATGAAAGTGCATTAGAGATTTTTTTTTTTTTTAACACGAATGGGCCCGCAGGGGAGAGTGTCATGTCTATTGCTTTCTCCTGTTGAAGGATTTAACTTAACAATTTCTCATTTCCACCCACCTCTCTACAAAGCCCATGTTATTCTCGCCATGTCTCGTTGGTCCTGCATCTCTAGAGTAAGTGCATGGAAACTATTTGCCCAGAATATCTGTAGCTGAGCTTCTGTTTTCCTGGTGAACGGCTTGATTTCAGCGATAGCTCAAGCACCATCTGTCTGAAACCAAATCTGCTTATTTTTCACATTCCCTTTTCTATCCTACAAAAATTGCACCCTCAACATTTGAATGTAAAATTATGATGCTGCCTGGAAAATGCTAATTTGCATACGTGCTTCAGCGTCAGGAGAGAAGCAGCAGCTGCCATGTACCTGCCACGTCCTTGACTCGGAGGGGGACGGTCCCCGACGGGCGACAGAGGCAGTCCCACAGGGAAGCTTGTGAGAAGCGCAGAGTCTTGAGGGTCCCGCTAGACCTGCAGAGGCAGAATTTGCATTTCAGCAAGACCCCAGGGGGTTCACGTGCACAGAGCCGTGTGGGAAGCCCTGGCCTAGAGCGCGGGTTGTCACTGAATCACGGGAGACGCTTTCAAAGAAAGTCGTGAATGCTGGAGCTCTCCCACCCTTGGCACCAGAGGGTCTGGTGACATATGCCAAGAAAGTGGGTCTCAAGCACAGCTTTAAAAAAAAAAAAAGATCCCCAAGGTCTTTAGAGATTCCTAGAGTCTCTAGCCACTGGGGAAAAAGAGAAAACAAACAAGAATGGTAAAAAAATAAAAACCACCAAATTGTCAACTCCGAAGAGACTCATTTACGCGTTTCTTCAGGAAATGTTTACTAAGCACTTATTTGGCACCAGCAGTTATCATGAGATAAAGCTACCGAGCCCTCCAAGAGGCTAAGCCACATGTCTGCTTCTGTCATGGCGCACACTAGCTGGGGGTTTCTGGTGACCTTATTAGAGACCGTTGCTCCCCTGCCAATCTGGGGAACCCTGGCAGGTGATGGAGTGTGACCATATCTTCTCACGAGGGGACTTTGGTTATAGACACAATGTTGTATTTCAGCAGAGAACTGGTGAGAGCAATAAAGGCCCCCCCAGTCTCGACATCCCAGCGCCTGCAGATTTGAACGATAAAGGGGGGACTGATGGCCATGAAAGCAGTTCCCAGCTTTGTGAGCGAACCATTGCCTTCGAAACAAGAGAAAATGGGAATTCTTGGTGGGACAACAGTGTTTATCCTCAAGGAGTTCAAGAACTTCCCACTGAGAATTCAGTGATATGTTATGAAGCACTGGGTAAGTTGTGAGTTATTAATACGAGTTCTCTTGATGCTAAATGTTGAATCTGGATGATGCATTCATGGGGTTCAGTGTACTGTTCTACTTTCAAAGATTTTTGAAATTTTTCATAATGAGAAATCTAAACAACTTAATCTCTCCTATGAATGAGTTAATGAAATATAGAAACCTACTTCTGGGACTGATAGGTTTATTTATTTATTTATTTGAGAGACAGCGAGAAAGAGAGCGCATGAGTGTGCAGAGGGAGAGGGAGAGAGCACCTTAAGCCAACTCTGTGCTGAGCACGCAACCCAGGCCGGGCCTCGATCTCATGACCCTGAGGTCATGCCCTGGGCTGAAACCAAGAGTTGGATGCTTAACCAACTGTGCCACTCAGGCGCCTTGAGACTGACAGTTTTTAACATTAAGCTACATCTGCTATTTTTCCTTCGGAAAGCAGCTCTGGGCCTGTTCCTTCAAGCCGGGCGAACTCTGGTTAGGCATGAGAAGGAGCTACAGTGGGTTGCGACTCAAAGGTCTTGCTCTCTCTGTGCCTGACACATGGCAGGTGCTCCTTAAACAGTTTTTGTGTGAATTAATGAATCTCATTCCTCAGAACATTTTGCCCCCACTGCTCGCTGTCGGCTGGAGGCACATCCTACTTCATTCATATCAAGTGGCAGTGGGTTCTGTAGGTGACTGTGCCACCTGCCACTCGTGCTTCCCGACACCTCCTCCTCAGTCTGCTCAGGTTTAGTGGCACCTGAGGTGGCAAAACTCTTTTCCGTCTCTCCCCTGACCCCCTGGCAACCCTCAGTAGGGTATGACCTGTGAACCTCTTCCAATGAAATTATTTAAAAGGTGCATCGTTATATATCTATTTTCCATTATAAAAGTAAAATAACTACTATGTTTGTTTTTTGGATTTTTTTTGTTTTTTAGATTTTGTTTATTTATTTGACAGAGAGAGAGAGAGCGATCACAAGTAGGCAGAGAGGCAGGCGGAGAGAGAGGAGGAAGCAGGGCTGGATGCGGGGCTCGATCCCAGGACCCTGGGATCGTGACCCGAGCCGAAGGCAGAGGCTTAACCCACTGAGCCCCCCAGGCGCCCCTACAACTACTGTATTTGTTCAGGCTGTATACCGCAGAAACAAACCCTGGCCCAATTAAACCATAACAAAAATCAGTGGACGAAGAGCTCCTGGATTTGAAGAAGCGTGGAGCAAACCGAGCCGTAAACGGGAGCCAAACCGCCAACCCTTAGATTGTGACCTCCGGCGTCCACTGAGGTCTGTGGGGCTCTGTCTGCATCTTCCATGATCTCTACGTTCTTGTTCCCTCTCGTCCCTGTTAGATTCCTAGGACAAAGAATCTGATCTGCAGCGCTTAGGTCCCAGGTCTAGAATCAGGAGATAGGGCCAACTAAATGAACTGTGAGCCAGGCAGCTGCCCACTTTGTGTACGGTCTCTTACACCATTTTGTTTTGAAAAAGTCGAAAATATTCTGCAGGAAAGAAAGGCTCCTATGATCAAGATACCATAAAAAACTATTATGAACATTTTAATTTTCTTCTGATTTTTTTCTTACCTTTTAAAACATCATGGTCTCTATATATTCACGCTTCTTTTTAAATATGATATGTGTGGGGCACCTGGGTGGCTCAGTCGTTAAGCCTCTGCCTTCGGCTCAGGTTACGATCCCGTGGTCCTGGGATTGAGCCCCGCATCCGGCTCTCTGCTCGGCGGGGAGCCTGCTTCTCCCTCTCCCACACCCCCTGCTTGGGTTCTCTCTCTCGCTGTGTCTCTCTCTGTCAAATAAATAAATAAATAAATAAATAAATAAAATCTTTAATAAAAAAAGAAAATAAACATGATATGTGTGTTTCCCTCAAGAATCTCCATTGTTTATGATCATTGCTTTTAACAGTATATAATATTCCATTGAGTAAGTACATCCTAACTTATTTAACTACCCGCCTCTTTTTTTTTTTTTTTTTTTGAGGATTTTTTTGGGGAGGGGATTATCAGTCACACAAGTCATGTTGCCAAAAAACTCATTTGGATAGCTTTGTACGTATTTTGGATTCTTTACTTTTTAAAAAATATTTTACTTATCTATTGAACAGAGAGAGACACAGCGAGAGAGGGAACACAAGCAGGGGCAGTGGGAGAGGGAGAAGCAGGCTTCCTACCAAGCAGGGACCCCGATGTGGGGCTTGATCCCTGGACCCTGGGATCATGATCTGAGCCGAAGACTGAGCCACCCAGGAGTCCCAGATTCTCTTCTTTCTTTCTTTTTTTTTTAAGGTTATTTATTTATTTGAGAGAGAGAGGAAAAGAGTTCGAGTGAGCAGGAAGAGGGGGAGAGGGAGAGGGAGAATCTCCCGCAGACTCCCGACTGAGCATGGAGCCTTTTGTTTAATAAAATGTTTAGGGATGAATTTATTAAAAGAAGTGCCAGGTGTGCTTTCTGAAAATGACAAGATATTTTCGTAATAAATTAGGAAAGACCTAAATACATAGATATCCCATGTTCATGAACAGAAGACTTAGCATTATCTTTTAAAAAGATTCTATTTATTTATTTATTTGAGAGAGAGAGCAAGTGTGCACATGCAAATGGCAGGGAGGAGCAGAGGGAGGGGGACAAGGAGACTTCATGCTGAGCTTGGAGCTGGACGCAAGACTCATTCCCAAGACCCTGAGATCATGACCTGAGCTAAAGTCAAGAGTTGGACACTTAACCAACCAAGCCATCCAGGGACCGCTTGAATTGTTAAGTTAGGTTCTCAGAATTGAAATTACCAGGTTAAAGAGTATTAACCTGTTTTTCTGACCTTGATAAATACTACTAGGAGAATCTTCTAGAGTGAAGTCTTAGGACCCACTAAATGAACTTATTTTTAAATAATTCAGTGTCTCTTGGTAAAGGCTGGATCTGGGAGATTCAGTAATTAATACGGCCACCCATTAAATGATGAATGTTCCAAGATGAAAAATACACTTATTGACATGTAAGAATCATATTATATTTCTTTAACATATTTTCTCCAATAAACAATTCTTTATTGTATATATAATAGAATTTTTTTTTTAAAGATTTTATTTATTTATTTGAAAGAGAGGCAGTGAGAGAGAGCATGAGCGAGGAGAAGGTCAGAGGGAGAAGCAGACTCCCCGTGGAGCTGGGAGCCCGATGCGGGACTCGATCCCGGGACTCCGAGATCATGACCTGAGCCGAAAGCAGTCGTCCAACCAACTGAGCCACCCAGGCGTCCCATATAATAGAATATTTTTAAATGTAGTTAATTTGAATCACTAGGACTGAGGTGAGATGAAGAAGATTAGGCTGTGGGGTTGAGGAATGAAAATAGGCTTAAAATTTATTTTTCAGTTCAAGTAAGGTAACTAAAATATGATAGCTGAGTTTGCTGATTTTTAAATGATGACTTTAATACCCAACAGAAAACCTGCTTTTTAAAAATTGTAAATATTTCAGTAAGAATCTTGTTGCTTCTTTTTGAACAAATCTTTGTTATAAAGAGGATAACAGTGCACTGAAATTACTTAGAATTTGTTATGAAAAATAAACATAATGTTAATAAAACTGATTCTGTCCTACAAGGTAACAGAACACTGAGTCATTTTCCTGAATCACTGGAGTATCTGTAATCACATCAGCTGTGATTCCCGTTTCGTTTCTCATGCTATGTCATGATATACTAAAAGCTTAAGGGCTTAATATTTTTTAAGTTCTCAAATTCTGGAGCCTAAAAATTCAGAAAAATCAAAGCCTTAAAAAAAAAAAAAACTTGACCTTGCCATGAACATTGACATCTTTTTCCTCTTTTGCTTCTAGAATATCTTGGAAATCCAGGTAGAAATATACAGTTGCCACATTCAGTACTGACTATAGCCAAAGGGAAGTCTCGCCCAGAGCTGGCAGCCAGATACCTCATTCGCAACCTGTTCACAGAAGAAGTCTTGATAAAAAGTAACGTCTATGGCAATCTGGGGTACGGCATGTATGCCCTTAACCCCAACAGGATTCATGCTCTTCGAGGTTGGTTGCATGTTCAGTATGTGAGAATAAATAAAAAGCAAGTTACATTACAGAAGGGCAAAAACTACAATCCATTCAGTTTGTTTGTGTTCTGAGGAGAGAGGGAGCTCTTACTAATTCCCTCCTTAGGGTATAACAAGGAATTTTTCCATGAATTGTTTCTCCTCTGCTTTCGGGCTCTCCGGGCTAATTGCTCTGTCTTGCCAGGCGTAGGGAAACCCGAACGCTTCGGTTTACTGAGGATCAAGGTCGAGGCTGCCGGGCTTTGTCAGTTTGCTAGAGTGTCAACAATAGCACAGCAGGTTAATTTGCTAGATTTTTCTTGTGCACGTGAGCTCAGGGCAGTCTTTATCTGTGATGTGTAGAGATGAAATAATATAGCTTCCAAAAGCGATCCTGTGAAAATTTAAATTTGGACAAAGCAGGAAGCAGAATACTTCTTACTTGTGTCACTGGGCCCAGCAAAGAGAGATTCTGAGCCCCAGGCTGATCTTAGTTGGTTCTTGTTTGGTTCCTGTCTTCATATCACACATACCCAGCAAATCTGAACACTTCATGTTTCAGACTAAACTAAAGAAGCCTGGCTTGCAGGACCTTCTGTAAGCATTCGCTATCGTCTACCCACTTGTTTTCAAACTTGTCTTTTTTTTTTTATTGCAACTCATAGTAAAAAATATGGTTTATGTTGTGACTCAGGAGATGTGTGTACGAGTTTTTAAAACTGCAAGCAAAAGCTTCACAATGTTTATTTCAATGAGATTACATTCCAGTGGTTTCTATTCTATTACACTTTTTAAAAGATTATTTATTTACTTATTTATTGGACAGAGAGAGAGAGAGCATGCATAAATGGGGGGGTGGCAGGCAGAGGGAGAAGGAGAGGCAGGCTCCCCACTGAGCAGAGAGCCAGCTGTGGGCTTGATCCCAGGACCCCAGGATCATGACCTGAGCCGAAGGCAGATACTTCACCTACTGAGCCATCCAGGCACCCCGCTATTACATTTTTTAAAAGTGCTGCCATCACTGACATCACGACCTAGTAATTGGTCACAGTTGGCAATTTGGACATCACGGAGCTAACCCACCGGGCAAAAAACCAAAACCTAATACCTCTTCTGGTTAAAAAAAAGAACACAGACTTTGTAAGCAATTTGGAAACGAAGGTGTTTATAGGAGAAATATTTTTCTAATTAAAATAATCTTTTTAAAGATTTATTTATTTATTTTTTGGGGGGAGAGAGAGAGAGAGAGAGAGTACGTTTATGCAGGACAGAGGGAGAGGGAGAAGGAGAGAAGCAGACTTCCCCTCGAGGGAGGAGCCCGATGTAGGGCTCCATCTCACCATCCTGAGATCATGACCTGAGCTGAAACCAAGAGCCCGAGGTTTAACTGACTGAGGCACCCAGGCGCCCCATTCTAATTAAATCATTTTTTGTTTTGAACGACAGAGATCACAAGTAGGCAGAGAGGCAAGCAGGGGTTGGGGGAAGCAGGCTCCCTGCTGAGCAGAGAGCCCGATGTGGGGCTCAATCCCAGGACCCTGGGATCATGACCCGAGCCGAAGGCAGAAGCTTTTTTAATCCACTGAGCCACCCAGGTGCCCTAAAAACATTTTTAAAAAATTTTTTTAAATTATTTTTTTAAAGATTTATTTATTTATGTATTTGACAGAGAGAGAGATCACAAGTAGGCAGAGAGGCAGGCAGAGAGAGAGAGGGAGAAGCAGGCTCCCCACCGAGCAGAGAGCCCGATGCGGGGCTCAATCCCAGGACCCTGAGATCATGACCGGAGCCAAAGGCAGAGGCAGAGGCTTTAACCCACTGAGCCACTCAGGCGCCCCAAAATATTTTTTTAAGTGAGGGGAAAGAGGTGACTTTTATAGTTCTTTAAATATCTGGAATATATTAGTTCCTCAAAAGTGGACTAAAGATATTATTCTATGCATTTCATTTTGTTTTATCCCTTATTGAATTATATTACTAGCTGAGATGTCTTTTGGAGTAAAAAATATTCAGTATGAGTTTGACATACAATCCACATGAGGCATATTTTAACCAATGTGCCGTAAGACTCCCAAGTTCTATTCCTGTATGGAAGGGTAGCCATGTGAATTATTTCAGTGGCGAGAATGCAAGAGAATCATCATCATTGTCCTAGGGGTGTGGGCAGAGCCAGGCCCAAGGAGGGGAATCTGACCAAAAAACATATTTTACTTTAATGTAGGGATAAAATGAACTTGGAGAATGAAGAGTTAGAACAAAGGCCGAGGGCGCCAGGGTGGCTCAGTGGGTTAAAGCCGCTGCCTTCGGCTCAGGTCATGATCTCGGAGTCCTGGGATCGAGTCCCGCATCGGGCTCTCTGCTCAGCGGGGAGTCTGCTTCCCTCCCCCCCCTCTCTGCCTGCCTCTCCATCTACTTGTGATCTCTCTCTGTCAAATAAATAAATAAAAAAATCTTAAAAAAAATTTAAAAAAAAACATAACAAAGGCCGAGTGACCAGAGATTTCTGCACTCATAGAAGGACTGGACCTTATAGTCTCCAGTGTAATTTCTTTAGAACTATTGGTTCAGGATAATTTAAAACACACAAAAATGTACAGAAAATGATATAGTAGTATAATAAGGACCTGTCAGCCCAGTACGGATGTAGATGCTTTGTTTTTTGTGCTACAGGTTATTTTTTTTTAATAATAAGGCATCACTGATATAATTAAAACTCATCTCACTGGGGCGCCTGGGTGGCTCAGTGGGTTAAAGCCTCTGCCTTCGGCTCAGGTCATGATCCCAGGATCCTGGGATCGAGCCCCGCATCAGGCTCTCTGCTCCGCGGGGAACCTGCTTCCTCCTCTCTCTCTGCCTGCCTCTCTGCCTACTTGAGATCTCTCTCTCTGTCAAATAAATAAATAAAATATTAAAAAAAAACAACAACTCATCTCACCAACTCTTTCCCCTGTCTTTCTCCCCAAAAGTAACCATAATCTTAGAGTTAGATGAATCATTCCCATACATATTTTATGCTTTTGCTACCTATATTGATAGATCTATAAATAATATATATTATCATTCTATAGTTGTTTTAATGTACATAAGTGGGGATATATAGTATGTATCCTTTTGAAAATTTTATTTTATAGATTTTATTTATTTATTTGACAGACAGAGATCACAAGTAGGCGGAGAGGCAGGCAGAGAGAGAAGGGGAAGCAGGCTCCTCACTGAGCAGAGAGCCCGATGCGAGGCTCGATCCCAGGACCCTGGGAGGGGAAGGCAGGGGCTTTAACCCACTGAGCCACCCAGGCGCCCCCCTTTTGCAAATTTTTATCACTCAACATTATGTTTTTGAGATCTTGCTCATGGATTTTAACTGCTGATTGGTATCCCACTGACTAAATAAAGTAGTTTATTCTTCTATTCTGATATAATTTTTTATTCTGAGATTTTATTATTTGGGGGCACTCTTCTGGAAATTAGTAACCTAAAGTAAATATGTCTGCTAGCCAAAGGTATTGATTTTACGAAGAAACTGTTGTTTGATGCTCTCTGATGAGCGTTCAGTATCGCTTAAGGGGTCTTTAGAGAGTGCTTTACATGGAGACAGTTAGTGGCTGGCAAATTTGCAATTAGTGCACAACCTTACTCCTATGCTCTCCCACCCATTTCTGCATATCACAGAACTGTAAAGTCTTAGCGATAGGAAGAACGTTACACATCCTCCAAGACAACCTTTCCCCCAGAGCAGGAATTTGATCTCAGCTTTGACATAGTTGCCTCCCCTCAGCTCGAACACTTCTACTGATGGCAATCCAGTACATTTTTAAAATTTTTGTTTGTATTTATTTAAGTTTTCATTTAAATTGTGGTTAGTTAAAATAGAGTGTAATATTAGTTTCAGGTGTACAATGTAGTGATTTGACACTTCCGTACATCACCTGGCGGTCATCAGGACAAGTGCCCTCATTCATCCCCATCACCTGTCTCACCCATCCCCTACCCACCCACCTCCCCTCTGGTAATCATCTCTGTGCTCTATAGTTAAGAGTCTGTTTCTTTGTTTGCCTCTCTCTCTCTTTCCATCTGTTCATTTTTTTTTTTGTTTATTACATTCCACATATGAGTAGAATTCATCTTTCTTGGACTGACTTATTTTGCTTAGCATAATACTTCCCAAGTCTTTTCATGTCCTTGCAAATTGCAAGGTTTTCTTCTTCTTCTTTTTAAAAAGATTTTATTTATTTATTTGACACTGAGAGAGAGAGAGATCACATGTAAGCAGAGAAACAGGCAGAAAGAGAGGAGGAAGCAGGCTCCCCGCTGAGCAGAGAGCCCAATGCGGGGCTCGATCCCAAGACCCTGAGATCATGACCCAAGCCAAATGCAGTGGCTCAACCCTCTGAGCCACCCAGGCACCCCACGTTTTATTCTTTTTATAACTGAGTAATATTCCAATGTACATATATCTACCACCCCTTCTTTACCAGTTCATCAGTTGATGGACATGTGTGCTGGTTTCATAATTTGGCTGTTGTAGATAATGCTGCTGTGAATATCGGGGGGCATGTATCCCTTTGAAAATATTCAGTAGGACAGTTGCTGGATCATAGCGCAGTTCTATTTTTAACTTTTTTTTTTTAATTTAGTTTCTTTTCAGTGTAACAGAATTCACTGTTTATGCACCACACCCAGTGCTCCATGCAATACGTGCCCTCCATAATACCCACCACCTGGCTCACCCAACCTCCCACCCCCCCGCCCCTTCAAAACCCTCAGGTTGTTTTTCAGAGTCCATAGTCTCTCATGGTTCACCTCCCCTTCCAATTTCCCTCAACTCCCTTCTCCTTTCCATCTCCCCATGTCCTCTGTGTTATTTCTTATGCTCCACAAATAAGTGAAACCATATGATAATTGACTCTCTCTGCTTGACTTATTTCAAAAATTTTTGAGGAAACTCCATGTTGTCTTCCAGGGTGGCTGAACGAATTTGCATGCCCACCAATGGTGGAG